GGCTGGCTGTGGCTGTGCCTGGCTTCAGTGAGTGTGGACAGGGCAGGTGGATGCGTGGACCCGGGCCATGTCTGGCTGTTAATGCAGGTCAGGCTTCGCGCTGCCGGGATTTCTCTGATGAGGATAAGAGCAATGGGTTTGTAACTGAGTGACACGAGCTCTTAATCCTGTCTTGATTCTTTTCTAGCTGTGCAACCTGAAGCAATGCACCTCTGCTCGGTGTTTCCTCATAGATCAAGTGATTTTGGTAAGTCTACCTCTCGGGATTTCTGGGAAGATGAGGACCACGTCTGCATTTGCAATAATGCAAGGACGCCAAGGTGTGCAGGCCAACCATCAGCCACGCCCAAGATCCACAGGGCTTAGCAAGCAGGTGCTGAGACCAGCGGCCTGCACACCCCTGCCCAACACCTGCCCCATTGTTGTGAGATGTTGACCTTGCCGCTGCCCTGCCGGCCATGGGTTCCTAGTCCCACCTCCTCCCAGGACAGAGACTAAGGCCCAGAGAGGGCAGATGTTGGCTCAAGGCTGCACAGCGCAGCATGGCCCAGCCAGCACTGGCACCCAGAAAACAAAGTGGCCTGCCCGGGAGTGTGGGCTTGGGAGCCAGACAGACCCCAGCTGGAGCCCAGCTCTGCAAATTCCATTCATTCAACAAACACGCGCTGAGTGTCTGGCACGCGCCACACACCACGCTCAGCACAGGGACCCAGGGGGACAAGATCGTGTGACCCTGGCCAGCTCCCTGCTCACAGTATGATGGGAGAGGTGGTGAACCAACAATCAACGAATACACAGCCATGGCCCCACCCCCGTGAGGAGCAGTGAGGGACACACGGGGCGGGCCTGAGAGTGACGGGCTGGGGTGGTTGCCGAGGTCACTTGCGAGGCCTCAGTGGAGAGGAGCCGGCCATCCTGTCGCTGGGCTCTGCTGACCTCCTTGGCTGACCGGTGAGGGCCTCAGTGAGTGTGGGCGGCCCGAGGCGGAGGCGGGGCGGCCGCGGGGGCGGAGTCTGCAGGCTCAGGCTGGGCGTGTCCTGCCCTGGAGGATGAGCTCCGCCCACGCGATGCGCAGAGCAGCCCCTGGGGCGCTGGTGCCACGTGTGCCGCGTGCGCCACGTGCTGCGTGTGGGTCCTCACACGTCAGCCTCCAGTAAGCCTGGGGGGTGGGTCCGGTCATCACCCCATTCCACAGATCAGGAGGACGAGGCTTGGAGCTTCAGCAGCCTGCCCGGGGTCGGCGAGCTGTGAGTGTCACACAAACGGCAGCAGCCAGGGCGAGCCTTTGGAGAAAACGGACCACAGGGCATCGCCCTCCCGCTCAGACCCCCGAGACCTCGTGCGGCTCTGTGCACGGGAGCCAGGCTCCTCCCTGCGACCCCCGAGACCCCGCCCAGTCTGGTCTCCGCCCACTGCCTTCCCCCTCCCCCATTCTCTCTGCCCCTCCTTGGTCCTCCTCGCTCCAGTTCTGAGCCTGGCCGCCCTGTACCGGTGCCCGTGTGGCTGGCTCCTTCCTGAGGACCAGGTCCCAGCTCCGATGGCCCTCCCTGGACCAGCCCGTGTGCCGCCCCCGGGGCCTGAAGTGTACACCGTGTCCTCAGTGGGCCAGCAGGGAAGCCCTGAGAAGTGCTTGCCGCCGTGGCCGCTCCTGCCGCCGGATTTATTACAGCAGGAAGACACAGCTGGGCCGCCGGCGCTGGCAGGCGGTGGCCTTGGTGCTGGTAGACCTGTTTGCGGGACCTGGACAGGTGGAGGCTTCTGACCATCGTCTCCCGTGATCCGGGCCATCTTGTCTGAGAGGCCACCAGCCCTGCCACATCTCACAGCCTTGGTGATCATGCCCAGGTCACAGCCGCCACCCCTGGTATCCCATGGAGGGTTCCTTGGTGTCTGACATCAGCCAGGCGGGCCACAGAACAGAGCAGGTAAAGACCTGGGCCTTGGAGTCAGCCACAAAGAGAGTTCAAATCCCAGCTCTACCACTTGACAGCCACGTGCCCTTGGCTGAGTAAACTCCACTCTACCCTCCACTTCTTCAGCCCTGAAAGGAAAGGGAGCGATCCCGACCTTAAGGAGTTGCTGTGTGGATCAAGGGAGAGATCAAGGGCGAAAGGCATGGAACACAGCCATAGGCACCAGAAGCAATGACCGCTGTTTTTATTCCCCAGGGACTTCAGAAAGGCGTGCGTAGAGGGGATGCTCAGCCTGCGATGCAGTTAGGCCCTGACAATCCCACCACCAGCTGAAAACGTCCCAGGTGGGAAGACGCGTGTGCCATCCAGCCCACCGAGTGTCACAGCTCAGCCTCTCCTGCCTTGGACGCCCTCAGAACACTCAGGTCAGCCTGCACTTGGGCGGGAGCATCGAACACCAAGTCTAGTCCATGATGAAGGACTGAATGTTTCATGGGATTCACCTGCATCCAACACACCTTGGCAACACGGCACACCGCGGAGCATCAGGGAGTGCGCCCGTGGCCGCGGACCGGCACCGCCACGCAGCGCCAGGCCGGGGAAAGGCCAACACTCGGACACATACGGTTTCTGCAGAACGTGAGTCGCTGCCGCAGCACTGGGAAGTCAAAGGGTTCTAAGTCAGGCCCACTTGTCCCGTGCTACAAGACGCCTTTTTTGTGGAGGCCAATTATGTCACCAGCTCTTTCTAAATATTTGATCGCTGCTTTTTTAAAATATTTGATCTCTCACTCTCACAACCCACGCAGCATGCAGGTATTGTGATGTTCCCTGTGGGGTAGGAGAACTGGCAGGTGGATGGGGGTGGGGCTGGGCGAGCCGCCCTGTGGCTTCTGGAGCCAGTGCTCCCCCTACACCCCCACACTTCCCAGCTCCTCGGAAGGCCAGGCGAGGCCACTGGCCAGGCAGGCAGGCCGGCCCACACGCCTGCCTGCCTGCCTTCCCTCTCTCACACCAAACTCCCCAAGCACTAGTGCCAAGGCAAGCCCAGTGCCGGACAACCGACACAAGACAAACACAGAAACACCCCCTGGCCTCGGGGAGCTCAACATCTTGCAGGGTGAGAGTAAAAGCACAGCTACACAGATGTACCCGTGAGCTCTGGGGATGTACAAGTGACCCCCAAACTCACCAGGGGCCGTGTATTCTCTCCCGGTGCATGGGTCGGCTGGGAAGTTTCCTCTCTGCTGTCAGGCAGACAGGGCGATTGGGCTACAGGTGCCCAGACGGCCCACCCTCAGCCTGGCGGTTGCACTGACTGCTCACAGGGTGCGCTGGTTCGCTGGGTGCCCGACTCACCCAGTCGTGTGTCCTCCCACGACAGAGCCCCAGGGGGCACAGCGAAGACTGCATCGCCTCTCTCGGCCTGAGATCCAGGACGCAGGGGCTCTCCCCTCTGCCACAAGCTATTGGTCAAACAAGTCCTTTGCTTGGCCAACATCTGATACTTCCAAACGTTTGTGGAAAATGGAATTATGCGTTGATTTGGGTGCAAACAAAACCTGGAAATCCATGCACCGTTTTTGCATGTGGCACATTTTCCACGAATGTTCTGAAGCACTTTTGACTGTCCTTGGCCCAACGTAAGAATGAGAGTGAGGAATCAGTGTGCCCAACCCAAGTAGGATCGTTTCTACCCAAATCTATTTAAAGATTTATTTTTTTGAATGGCACAATTGGAGAGAGAGAATTCTTCCATCCATTGGTTCATTCCCCACAGCCAGGGCTGGGGAGCTTCTTCCAGGTCTCCCACATAGGTGGCAGGGGCCCAAACACTTGGGCCATCTCCTGCTGCTTTTCCCAGGCCATTAGCAGGGAGCTAGATGGAAGTGGAGCAGCCAGGACTCGAACCTGTACCCATATGGGATGCTGGCATGGCAAGCGGCGGCTTTACCCGCTATGCCACAGTGCCAGTCCCTGTCCATTGAATTTTTAGCTCAGGTCAAAATGCTGAATTGTGAGGTCATTAGGATGGGTCACATCCTTTGGCCAATGGAGAAACTGAGACATGAAAGTGTGAAGAGCATCCGGTCATTTTTTTTTTATTTGAAAGGCAGAATTACAGGGAGAGAGACAGAGAGAGGTCTTCCATCCACTGGTTCACTCCCCAATTGGCCACAACATGCAGAGCTGGGCCAGGCCAAAGTCAGGAGCCAGGATCTTCTTCTGGGTCTCCCACGTGGGTGCAGGGGCCCAAGCACTTGGGCCATCTTCTGCTGCTTTCCCAGGCCATAGCAGGGAGCTGGATTGAAGTGGAGCAGCCAGGACTTGACCCTGCACCCATAGAGATGCCGGCACTGCAGGCAGTGGTTCTACCAGCTATGCCACATCGCTGCTTTTCATTCTTTCATATAGAGAAACTGAGGGCTTGCCAAGGGTCACAGCCAAGTTCATGGCAGAGCCAGGAGTGACAGGGGGTCCTCACAAGCCAACCCACTCCTTGTGCTTTACCCCATGAGGAAACCTGGTGCTGGGGCGGGGGCTGGGCCCCAGCAGGACCATATCCCTCTCCCCACCTCTGCCATGTGTTTATAAACGGAGCCCTTCCAGCACACCTGGCACCAGTATCTTATCTGATGCTAACAGGATCATCCCCATTTAACAGATGAGAAAGTGAGGCCCAGAGAGGACAGCTGACTCCCCCAGGGCCTTACAGCTGCTGGAGTGCAGCGACACCAAAGCCTGTGCCTCCCAGGCTGCCCCAGAAACAGCTGAGCCCTGCCGCAGGCCTCAGGTGCACCAAGAGGCAGCACTGTGGCCTAGGCAGGGGGGGGGGGGGGACGGAGGAGGGTCTCAAGATCAAACCCCAGCCTGAGGATCTGCTTCTGAGGCCCGGGTGGAGGCAGCCATGCCCAGGGTCCCTGGGAACCACTCCTAACAAATGCAAGGACCCTGGGCCACATTCTCACCAGGTTAAGAGCAGAAAACCACAGTCAGACCAGAACCCAGACCTCTGACCTTGGCTGCACTGGGAGGCTGGGGGCAGGTCCCCACATAGGCCGGTCAGACACACACAGGGCCACACGGTGGCATTCAGACAGCAGTTTATTTACAAAGCACTTTACAAACGTCCGCTTTTGCCTCCCCACAGCCCCCTGCGAGGTAGGTCAGTAGTCATATCTACAGTTTACAGATGGGGAAACTGAGGCACGGGATGGGGTTGTGGCCCGCCCCATTGTAAAGAGAACTGCACACCCGCCCATCAAAAAATAACAAAGTCAGTCAAGAAAAGCACTGAGCCGCCACCCCCAAACCTCCCTCTGAACTCCAGGCTGGCAGCCCCACTCTGGGGCTGGCCCTCCCCCCGCAGCCTGGCCAGGAGCCACGGGGGCCCCGAGCCCAGAGGCTGTGGTGCAGCCCTGCAGTAGGTCACCGGCTCCAACTGAGCAGGACCGTGGCGGTGAGGCCTGAAGCTTCCAAGAAGAGCAGGCAGGGGAGAAGCCCACTCGGGGCAGGCAGCGACGGGCAGAGCCCGGGTCAGGGATGTTCATAGCACGTGTCAGGGAAGCCAAGTGGGCAGGGATGGTGAGCAGAACACCCCAGGGGCTGGGAGGGCACGGGGGCACAGAAGGATGCTGCTGCCCCCTGGGGGAGGATGGGCACATCCGTGCAAGCCCAGCCCCCCCCCCCCCGCCCCCAGACTCCCAGGGTCTGGCCCAGACTGGATTCTGGATGCCACCCCCAGGGCGCCCTCCACCTGCACGCAGAGGGAGCAAGCTGGGTGCACACCACAGCCTGGGACTCTGTGCCGGGCCCCACTCATCTCCGGGGAGGGCTAGATGTCAGCAAACGGCCTGGCCTGCGTCCCCCAGAGCAGGCTGCTCTGAGCCCTGTCACACTGGCAGGCAGTGCCAGTCTCTCAGCACAGCCTGCAAGGCCCCACGAAGCTGGGCGGGCTGCAGTCTTGCCGCGCTCGTCCTCGGCCCACGCCTGCCCCTGGGCCGCAGTGGAGGACTCGCAGTGGAAGGGACACCAAGATGGCCCAGCGTCGTGGGCCCCAGAGCTTCCTCCATGGAGGCTGTGGCTGAGCTGAGCTGAGCTGAGAGCACAGGTCTTCCTGGCCAGTCCTGAAGGGGGGCTTGGGCCTGAGTGCGAGGTGGGCGCCTCAGGCCAGGGGCCCCCTGCTATCTCGACTCCAGCCCCTCCAGGTACTCCAGGGCCACGTCGTAGCAAAAGTGGTACTGATCCTGAGGAGAGGAAGACAAGGGGTCAGAGGCTGAGCGCCCCCTAGAGGCGGCAGGGGAAGGGCAGAAGGGCAGTGGGGCGAAGTTGTGACGTCGCGGGACTAGACTCAAGGCCCAGGGGGAGGGACCAGGCAGGGGAGGGCGGGCGCTGAGGCCTGGGGGCCAGGCCGGCCGAGAAGGCTGAGTGGCTGGGCTCGGGGACCGGCCTCACCATGGTCTCCACCATGTTGGGTTTGTAGTTCCGAAGCGTTTTGGCAGCGAAGAAAACGTCCACCAGGTTGTGGCAGCGGATCATCTCCAGGACCGTGGCGCAGGCGCAGAAGGTGCCGCTGCGGCCGCCCCCGTTTCTAGGAGACATCACAGGTCTGGGGGAGAGCTTGGGCCGAGGGGGTGGGGCTCAATGTCGGAGGGGCGGGGCAACCAAGGAGGGAGGGGCAGAGTCCAGGGGCCAGGGGGCGCGGCTAGGGGACAGAAGGGGGGAGGGGGCAGACAGCGAGCGGTGACTGCAGGCCCACTAGGTGGGTTAAGGAGGAGGATCAGAGGCCAGGACCGACTCCGGCACGTCCTCAGTGGACACTCAGAGTGTGGATTCTGAGGGAGGTGGCCAGCACATCCAAGAGAAAGCCACTGGGCAAAGCAACAACCCAAAGCCCCCAGAGCAGGGCGCAAAACGAGCGCTGAGACCAGTCCCCCCAGGCAGGCCCCGGGCCCTCCCGCCGGACCTCTGCCCTCGGCCGCCGCAGCACTCACAGGCAGTGCACGACGGTGCGCCCGTCCCCGCTCTCCGCCTGCCACTTGTCCACCTCGGCCAGCAGGTGCAGGAAGGCCTTCTTGGAGTCGGGCGTGTCCCGGTACGCAGACCAGCGCAGGAACTGGAAGTGCCGCACCAGCAGGTGCCCCTCCTGCAGCTGAGGGCGTGGGCGGCGCCGGGGCCACTCAAGAGGACCATCAAGGCTGCCCCGGCCTCCGCCCAGCTCCTCGCCCCGGGGCTCCCCAGACCACTCACCCGAGAGACGTTCTGCACCCGGAACACGCGGGCCACCAAGTCCTCATCCGCTGTGCCCGACACAAACTCCACCTCCATGAGGCCATACTGCTGGCGACCCGGCTCCGGCCAGTACTGGAGGCAGGGCTGGGGGCGCGGGCATGGAGAGAGGAGAGCTGAGTGGAGCCAGGCCAGGGGTCATTCCCACGGTCACGGCCACCCCGGGGCTGCACACAGCCTCACTCCAGATCCCCTTCAGGATCCCCCAGCACCGCCCGCCCCTGGGCACCCTGCACCGATCAGATCAGCCGAGACAAACCCTGCAGACAGGGCGCTGCCACCTGCCGCGCTGCAGGCGGGAATCCACACATTAACGTGCTCACCGGATGCGTGTGCACAATCCACAGACATGCACGCCTACATGAGGCCGTCTCCTTCCAGGGACACTCACCCCGGAACCCCACCCCCACCTCGTCTCTCACTTCCTCCCAACAGAGGTGGGCATAACTCAGCTCAGCACCCTCTGCTGCCCCGGGGCCCCATCCACGGGAGATGTTGGTTGACTGAACGGGCCAACAGGGAACCATGAATGATGTCACGGCTGGGTGACAGAGGCCCCTCTGCCCTCCCCTCTACCGTAGCAGGGATGGGCTCCTCTACAGCTCGGATTTGCTCCAGACTCCCCCTCCCCATCAGCACCTGGAGCCCCTCACCCTGCAGTCCTGGGTCATCCACCCCAAATGACAGACTCGAAAGAACGCAGGTAACCACGGCTCGCCCAGGCAGCCAGCAGGGGGCTGTGGCACAGCAGATCTCCCTGACCTCCTGGGGCAGGGCTGGGGTGCTGGGGGCGTAGTTAGCAGAGCCTCTGCACTTCCTTCACACTGCAGCCTTGCGAGCCCGGAAGGGAAATGAGGAAGGTCCGAGGGGCTGCCCCCAAGCGGAGGTCACCAAGCCAGTGCGAGCTCAGGCCCCGAGGTGACTGCCACCCTCCTCATCCCCACCCCTGGCACGCGCTGGGCCCAGCACCTGGTCTCACAATAACCCCGGCAGCACAGGTCCATGTTACAGAGACGAAACAGAGGCTCACCGAGGGAAATCAACAAGGACCAAAGAGAAAACAGGAGGCTTGGCTGTTCCTCTCCCGCAAAGTCTCCAAGGTGGGCAGTTTTGTGGAGCAACCAAAAAGCAGAGGCCCTGAAAGAGGCAGCCAGCGTGGGCCCGGCTCTGCCACCCCCCAGCCCTGCGGCCTTGCAGAGCGCAGAGGTCACATCCTCACACTCCCGCCTGAAGACCCTGTGCCCAGGTCACTGGAGGCTGTAAATAAGATGCTAAGAGCAAAGCAGAATCCCGGCTTCCGCAGGTGACCAGCAGAGAGCTGAAACTTCCTTACAGGTGAGGAAGGGGAGGCCCTGGGAGGGAGGGAGACTCTCCAAGGTCACACAGCAAAGAAGTGGCCGAGCTGGGGGCTCACCCAGGCGGAGTTGGACTGGTTCAGCTGGTTGAGCATCACGATGGAGGTGCACCCGTAGTCGTAGACCAGCCGCCAGAAGTCGGGCGTGGTGCTCTGCAGTGGGTGCAGGGTCACGATAAAGGCCGCGCTCCGTGTGTAGCTCTGCGGGGAAACGGGACTTGGCGGCGGCCCAGCCCTGCCCTGGGCTGTCTTCCCCTGCCCCACCCCCAGCACCCCAAGCTGGACAGCTGGGCCTCACAGGACCAGGCTGCCCGCAGTGGCCCACTTCCAGAAGCTGGCCGGCACACGAGGCCTGAGCTGACCAGGCGGGCCCCCAGGCCTCCGTGCCCAAGCCCTTAGCCCCGGGAACGAAACAGCCACAGGTTCCCCTGTGCGTGGCAAGGGGCGTTTGAGCGTGGGCGGTGGGGGCCGGCCAGCCTTGCTCCCTGCCTCACCACCTCTGCATCTGCTGGTTCTGCAGCCAAGACCAAACTGCTCAAACATCTGCATGGCGCGCGCGCGCTCTCGCTTCTTCTGGGATTTTGCTTAATTGTCACCTCCTCAAAGAGGCCCTCTTCACTGCCTCATCAAAAATACGTGCACACGCACGCACACACAAAACCAAATCACACATTCCTTCTGCCTCGTCGTTTTCTGTAGACATTTCCAGTGCAAGAGCCCACGCTGTACAGTTATTTACCCACTGTCCCACCCTAACCCCCCCCCACAGTTCAGGGGAGCACAGATTCTGGGACATGGCCTCTGCCTAGCATGTGGTAGGGGCTCAATGAATATTTCTGAATAAATCAATCTACAGGTCCCCTCCCACTCCACGGACTGCACCCCGAGCGCTGCAGACAGCGGCAGGCACAGGCTCTGCTCCCCGCTCCTGACCCTGTCCTCCTGGGCAGGCTGGCACCGGGCTTCTCCCCATCAGAGCTCCTGCCTCGAGTCTCCCCTGGGGCTGTGCCCTACCCCACTCCTGCCTTGTCCCCTCCTTCTCCTGAGCTCTTCTCCTACAACACTGCTCCCCGACCCCAGCCCTCCTTCAGACCCAGGGGCTGACACAGGCTCCAGGGACCTGCTCTGGCCTTGACCTTGCGCCATGCTTTGGAATGGAAGGGCCCTCGCCAGTCTACCAGCTCCCCGGGGACAGGGCTCCCCGATGCTCGCAGAGCGCCAGTTCCTCAAGGCCCAGCTCAGGCCTGGCTACCCGACAGGGCTCCTACAAACACCCCAAACTGACCCAGGCTGGCCCCCAGTAATCAGGGCCTCTGGCTCCGGCACCAACAGGACCCAAGTGGCTGCGATCAGGCGTCAGAAGCATGAAGGACCCCAGTAAGGGGGCAGGAACATCTCAGCACCTCTCTGGCTGATGGGCCCTTCCCCACCCAGGGCCCAGGAGCCGCCCCACCACTCTCTCCAGTTCAGAGACTCTCGGCCCTCAGAAAGCCTCCTTTCCAGGCCACCCGTGGCCAGATGAGCACACTGAGGCCAAAGAAGGGGCTGGGAGGGAGGCCGCAGAACCCTGAGGCTCCATCACAATCTCCCCAGACCCTTATGCCACCCCCTCGGGGGTCCTGCAGCACGCCCAGCCGCTTTGGGCAAACAGAGGGGTGTGTGTGTGTGTGTGTGTGTGTGTGTGTACACACGCACATGCAAATGCATGCATAAGCACACACACACACCCCACGCTCCAGCAGACTGGGTGACAGCGGCCCCGCTCTCCCGAGTGAGCAGCCTGGGAAACCACACCCAGCATACAGCATCCTGCCCAAGGGCTCTCGGCCAGGAACCAGGCCACAGAAGTCCCGCCTGCCCACAACCTGCTGTCAGGGGCCTCCCTCACCCCCACCTCCCATCTCAGCATGGGAGGACGCCTGGGGACGGCACACCCAGCCCTGCCCAGCTCCGTGGAGTTGGCACCACCCTGCTACCCACTGTCTTCCAGGCCCACCTGCCCCCAGAAGGCGCGCATTCTACCCAGCCCTGCTCCTGCCACTCGGAGTGGCCCATCCCTGACACCAGGAGGGGCTGGTGCACAGATGGCCCCCTTGGCCTCCAGTCCAAAGTCAAGTTTGAGCTGTAACACCTGCATGTCTGCTCGCGGCAGGCAGCCAGGGGGACTACCACAGCCTCCTCCCTCAGACAGCAGCGTCTCAGCCCCCACAGCCCCAGCACCCACCTCCTGCTCTGCTGCCACACGTGGGAAAGGAGGCGGGGCCCCTGGACTGAGAGCCTTTAGATCCAGGAGGTACCCGGGAGGAAGTCACCATGGCAGGCCGGCCCCAGAGCAAGCTGCACTTCATCTTCCAGGACAGCTGCCCAGGCTCCGGACATCAGGCCTCAAGTCCCAGCCCCAAACCTTAAGGCCACCCAACCAAAGCCCCTGAATCACTCCCCCTACTGCAGGAGCTGCTGGTCTGGGCCTGGGAACAGCCCTGCCTGAACTCCACAGCCCAGACCCCGATTAATACCTGAGGGGGGCACCAGCTTCAACCTCCTCTTTAGAAGTTCAGTGAGCAATGGGAGGGGCCTGGTCCCCGGAACGGGCAAAGGTCACCGCCAGCCCAGCCCTCTGCTCTGCTCCCTGGGCTCCGGACCTTGCCCAGTGCTGCCGGGAGGGGAGTCCTCAGCCACCCCCCACGCCCGCCACTGCCCCACTCGTACGTCTGTAAGAGCCGCATTGATGTAGTTGTTGGGGTCCCCGTCGGTGGAGAGCAGGAGGGGCAGGCAGCGGTCGGGCGGCAGGACGTCCATGCTGCGGTTCTTGTCGCGGTTCCGCGGCAGCAGGGCGATGCTGCACTCCTCCACGTCCAGCGCCGGCGTCACCGAGTTCAGCGTCTGCGGGGCAGGGAGGACATCGTGACATGCTCCCGTGACGGACACCGGGCTGAGGATTCGCAGCCGAGATCCAGGGAGAAGGGGACAGAAGGCGGGGGCCCGGCATTCCGGTGTCCAGGCTGTGCAGGGCCTGGGGGGAGCTGTCTGCCTCCTCACTGCCCACGCGACCTTAGACAAGCTCCTGCAACTCTCAGCCTCAGTGTTCTCAACTGTAAAATGGGAAGAACATGGGCCTACCATGTGGGGCTGCTGGAGGGCTCAAGTGAGAAAACAGCGAGCGCCAAGCAGAGCCTGGCACACGCGGGGCTCGGGATGCAGGCGGCACGGTGCTCTCCCAGCTCCTCGGTGCCCCTGCCACAGGGCCCTGAACCCCACACCCTCCACAGCCCAGGACCTGGCACAGGGGTCCCCTTCCTTGGTCACAGGCCTTGTCTCAACAGGATGCAGGACCTGCGCAATCTGTACTAAGCCCAGCCGTGGCCTCCAGCCTCTCCCGCACCCTCTGTCTAAAGTCACGGGGTCTCAGTTTCCTTCTCTGGCTCTTGGGGATCCCTCGCAGGGAACCCCAGTCTCTCAGGACCCTCCAGACCTGAACCCTTTGCCCAGGGGGCCGCAGGAACACTTCCTGTGAGGCCACCCTGTGCCAGCTCTGGAGAGGCAAGACCCTCGCAGGAACCACAGGGTGGGCAGTTTTCCTGTGACACAGTAAGGCTCAGTCCCCCGGGCACGTGACCAAAGCCTCGGGCCATCAGTGTGTTCAATCCCTCTGGCCCTAGGAACTGGTTCAGGGCTCGGCACACGAGAGCTGGGGCCAGGCCCTTGCTGGGGCTGTTGCGAGCAGCAAGTATCTTTTTCACAGCACCGTGTGGACCCGTCCTGCTGGGAGCCAGGTGCAGGTCTGAGAATGGAGCCCAGAACCGGGGGGCGGAACCAAGAGTGAACAGGGACCATCATCGTCTGAGCCCTTGGATGCGGCCACAGCTGAAGCTGCACCATCCTCAGACCCTAGAGCTAGATTTTCATCACTTCAAAGAATCCTGAGAATGCAAACACTGGGGGAGGTACTAACTGTCTTTCTTTCCTGGGTGACAAAACTGAGGCACAGGGATCGGTGCTGCGGTGCAGCAGGTTAAGCGGCCGCCTGCAGTGCGGGCACCCCATATGGGCGCAGGTACGTGCCCCGGCTGCTCCACTTCCGATCCAGCTTCCGCTAGGCCTGGGGGAGCAGCGGAAATAGCTCAAGTGCGGGGGTCCCTGCACCCACGTGGGAAACTACAGCATCGGCCTGGCCCAGCCCCGGCTGCTGTGGCTACTGGGGGAGTGGACCAGCAGATGGAAGATTCTCTCTCTCTCTCTCTCTCTCGCTCTCTCTCTTTCTCGCTCTCTGTAACTCTGCCTTTCAAGTAAATAAAATAAATCTTTAAAAAACAAAAAGCCTGAGGCACTGACTTGTTCAAAGGACACGAGCGCTCACGTAGGTTAAGGATTTGGACCAGAGCTCAGAACCACGGCTGTCTCTCCAGCTGTGGACTCGGGCTGGTCCCTCCTGCTCAGTCCGCCTGTAGTACCAAGGGCTTCTCAGTGCACACACACAGACACGCACACACCTTGCACACACTCATACTCACACACCGCACATGCACACACAGACATGCACACACACATACACAGACATGCAGACACGCACACGTCTCACACACATACACAGACATGCAGACACGCACACGTCTCACACACATTTACTCACACACTGCACATGCACACACAGAGACATGCACACATGCACACACACTAACCACACACATGCAGACACATAGCTCACACATTTACTCACACTTGCACACACACCTCACATCTCCATGCACTCACACTTGCATGCACACTCACGTTCTCACCACACACACACTCACCCCCTACCTGGAACTCTTCCCGCAGCTGGGAGGAATTACTCTGAGGATCAATGCGGATCATTTCCTTGTAGGTGGCCTTGAATTCACTGACAGGGATGGTGGTCTCCCCACACAGGCAGGCCTCCAGGATCGCATCATGGATGAAGATGTACTGCTCCTGCAATGGGAACGTGAGGGGGAGGAGACAAGAAGCAAGTTCAAGGCCAAGGCATGGATTGGACCAACCCTACTTGAACGACCTTCACCCATGTTGCTCTAAGAGGGGAGGGACAGCCAAGGTCGCATGCCTAGAAGGATGCAATCCTGAGTGTCTTGGCTGCAGAGCCCATTGGGCTACCTTGCCCAACAGAACACAGAGGGGCTGGGTTTGGGGAGAGCACAAGAGGTTGACAACCCAGGTTCAGGGATGATCCTGGGAAGGACGCCCAGGACAGCCCAGCAGCTCACGAGAGACCCAGGTCCTAAGGGAAGCGGTGGGGACGGGGCTGGGTCCCGCACCTCGGTCTGGATCATGTTGACACGCCGGGAGCAGAGGGTCTTCACGCAGTTGTAAATGTCCACGACACCCTCACACTCGGCCATGTCCAGCATCACATCCAGGACGATGTAGCAACCTGTGCGGCCGGTGCCCGCGCTGCAGACAGAGCGGCCCCAGGCCCCATCAGAGCCTTGGCAGGGAGCGTGGGACCAAGGAGAAGTGGGGTGGGGTGGGGGGGACACTGGGACTCCCAGCCTCATCTATACCACACAGAGGACAGGAACCCAGAGCAAGGAGCCAGCAAGCAGGTTGTTGGAAGAGCTCTGGGGTCAACGGACAGAGAGGACAGAGTGAGGGATGGGTCTCCCAGAAGGAGCAGAGGGGAGGGGAACGGGAGGCAGGGGTGAAGCCAGCCTGGCTGGGCTTAGCAACTTAGGAGAGAGGGACAGAGGACACTCACAGCTCTAGGCAAGAATGATGCTTCCTCCCGGGTACAACCCACCACCTCCTGCACATCCCTCAGAACCCCACACATCACACCCATTCTCGCACCCAGGCACTCGTTGGCGCTCTCAGCACTCTGGACAGGTTTTTATGAACACACGCCCCCTGCTATGCGGTTGCTGCCGACTGACCAAGCTGCCGCGCCCTAACCCAGCTGGGAGCTCAGCTGTGCTGGGCGTGCACTGTCTGCCTCCTGCCCAGCGCCAGGTGGAGCAGAGTAGAGGGAGCAGGAGTGGCCAGAGGAGACACAGAGATTCGGGTTTGGAAATGGTGGTGTCCAAGTGGCAGTGAGGACGTGCAGCAGATGGCATCCCTTACAGCTCGGGGGGCTTAGATGAGCACAAGCGCCTTGGGAAACCAGCAGAGCCCACGAAGGCTGCATATTCACACAGACGGCAACCCTCCTCCTCCACGTACACCCCACCGACAATGCGCGGCAGGATGTCCGGGCAGCACTATGCATGAGAGCTCAAAACTGGACACAACCCCAGTGCCCATAGCGGCAGCAGGGACACGCACGTCGTGAGCTATTCACACAGTGAGATGTCGTGGTACGGGTAAGCCCTGCAGACACGGGCTGGGGGGACGAAGTCACACAGCAAGCAGCACGCGGGGCACGGTTCTACTTCTACAAAGCTCAGAGACGTTCAACACGGCCTCCGGTTTGGAAATCAGGATAGCATTTGCTGGAGAGGGAGCAGGGGCAGGGCAGAACCTGGCTCCAAGGACTGCTGGGAGCTGAAGGCCAGGTTCACGTGCTGTCCCCCGACCTGGGTAGAGCTGGCTATTGCACACGTGTGGTCAGAAGGTTATAAATACACCTAGTGTGTGCTTCAAGTATGCACTTTAAGTAGTTTATATATCAATAGTTTTATTTTACTTTATTAAAAATTTATTTTACTTTATTTATTTTATTGAAAAAGATGGCATTTCAGGGCTGGTGTTGTGGCACAGTGGGTGAAGCCACCTGCTGAAATGCCAGCATCATGCACATTGAGCACCGGTTTGAGTCCTGGCTGTCCCACTTCTAATCCAGCTTCCTGCTGCTGTGCCAGGGAGGGCAGGGGAAGATGCCCAAGTGCTTGGGCCCCTACCGCCCCTGCGGGAGACCCGGATGGAGTTCCTGGCTCCTGGCTTTGGCCTGGCTGAGCCCCAGCCATCACAGTCATTTGGGGAGGAGACCAGTAAATAGAGGATCTCTCTCCCTCTCTCTACCTCTACCTCTACCTCTACCTCTACCTCTACCTCTGCCTTTCAAATAATAAGTGTTTAAAACAATAAACAGGGTCTGGCGCTGTGGCATAGCAAATAAAGTTGCTCACTGCAGTGCCAGCATCCCATATGGGTGCCAATTCAAGTCCCAGCTGCTCCACTCCTGATCCAGCTCTCTGCTATGGCCTGGGAAAGCATTGGAAGATGGCCCAAGTGCTTGGGCCCCAGCACTCGCATTGGAGACCCGGAAGAGGCTCCTGGCTCCTGGCTTCGGATCGGTGTAGCTCTAGCCATTGCAGCTATTTGGGGAGAGCATAAGCGGATGAAAGACCTCTCTTTCTCCCAGCCTCTGCTTCTAACTCTGCTTTTCAAATAAATAAATAAAAATCTTAAAAAAAAAAAAACAAATAAAATAAATATTAAAATGGTATTTTAAAGAGACTTTAAAGAAAGTCAAAGAGAGGCTGGCTGGGGGTGGCAGGGCAGAGAGAACATGGCTGCCACGGGAGACCGGCATCTGAGAAGAATCCAAGCACAGGAACCGGGACAAGGAGGGAAGGCGTGGACTGGTGGGCCAGGGCACTTGCCAGAGTCACAGGTTAAAGGTTAGGCTCTCTGGGGGTAGACTGGGGGCAGGCAGGGCTGGGACAAGGCCCCATATATGAGGTAGGAGCCAGACAGAGGCGGGACATGGGGAGGAAGGCAGCTGGGTCACCGGTGCCAGTCTAGGTGAGCTGGGATTCGAGGGGAGGGGGCGGGGAGAAGACCAGGGGCTGCAGAGTATGTCACAGCCAAGGGACCAGCAAGGCCACCAGGGCTGCAACGAGAAGCTGAAGTCCTTCTCAGCCCCCAGGCCAAACCCCCACACAGCAGGTGTGCAACGATCCCCTGCTAGAGGCCAGCAGTCTGAACCCCGTGGTGCCCAGCACCTTACCAGCCTCGGGCCGCCAGTGCCTCCTCAGCACCTGGCCAAGGGGTAGCACAGGAGGAGGCCACCCTCGGACTCAGAGCTCAAAGGGCAAAGGGCCTTCTGGGAGCTCATGCCTCTCTCGCGTCGTCTGTCTCCAAGCAGGATGATCTAGTCCCCTTCTGGGACCTTGAACCAGCCCCACGCTGGCACCCACCTCCCCGCCCGCCACTGGCCCCTCTTCTCCTTGGGACTCCCGGAGCTCCCACCTGCAGTGGATGACAACAGGCCCTGCGTCAGGCGGGGTGGAGGCCTTCACGCGCCGGATGAAGGCCAGCAGCCCCGTGGCGTGGTAGGGGACGCCATGCTCTGGCCACGCTGTGAAGTGGAACTGGCGGACTTCGTGCCGGGCAGAGTAGCCTCTCTGTGGAGACAAGAGCAGTAACAGAGGCACTGGCAGCATCTATTAGACACCTGCTGTATGCCAGGCACTCTGGTGAGAACGTCATTGCAGCATCTCAGTTGACGCCAACGGCAAAGGCCCTGGTGGAGGCGGGGGTTTATGTCCCGTGTGCAGCAGGAAAACTCGGTCTCAGACGGGAGATGCCACTGCCAGGAGGGCAGACAGATTGCACAGGACGTGGCCAGGGGTCAGCCCGCTGCCCAAACGTATGCAGTTCAGCGCCCACCTCCACCTCCAGCCCGCCGTGCAAGCAGAGATCACTACGACTCTCCAAGCCTTAAGTTCAAGGGGAAAAGTCTTTCCTCTGAGGATTTCACAGGGCAGATCAAGTAGGAACACACACAGGTCTTGCCTGCCAATCACAAATCGTGGCCTCTGGTGAGTGACACAAGCACTCCAAGCCTCATTTGCCTTGTCTGTGAAATGGGCTAATGGCAAACACCGAACCCCACAGAGCTTCCCAGGATTGAACCGGTGCATGGCGCAGGCACAGAGTCAGAGCCAACACGCGGTAGCTGACGTCAGCATCCTCACTGTCCTAACTTCCTGTTGGCGTGCCCAGCAAACAGTTGCCCTCCCGTCCTTCCACGGTGTTCCCACCAAGTTACCCAGCAGCCTCCGTGCACAGGAAGGCCCCGGCACACTCCCCACCCCCACCCCCACCCCCGCTGCCTACGCTGAGGCCGGGGTGGGGGCTGCCCTGCAGGGGGCAGGGGACAGGGAGACTCACCCGCTCCAGGGCGAAGGTGCGCACCACATACTCGGCCAGGGTCTCCGTCTTCACCAGCGTGATCTTGATGTCCCCATACATGTCTGAGTCCTCCGGCCAGTACCTTGAGCACTTCACCTGCCGTGCCCACAGGACAGCACTTGGCAGGTGCTCCCCCCACCTCCCAGGGCGCGCCACGCCCCCCAGCCCAGCCTGCAGCTTACCCTGCCCACCTCGACCAGCTTGGTGATCATGACGATGCTGGAGCAGTGCTCCTGCCACACCATGCGCCAGAAGTCGTAGATCATCTCCGGCTTCGGCCCTGGGGGCGCAGAGGTGCCTGTTCCTGAGGCGAGACCCCTGCCCCAGGGCCAACGCACTCTGCTACCCAGCAACACCCAACCCAGGCCAAGGGCTCCTGGGGCCCCAGTGGGGGCTTTGTGCACACCCCACTCATACCCCACCGTTGCCAACTAACGCCTGCAGTGCCCTGGGTGTGGGTCTTATCAGGGGAGGGCCTGGCCCCAGGCATCCTGAATGGGATGCAGGAGGCAGGGCAGGAGGGCCAGCCTACAGGGTCAGACCCTCCATCCACAAGGCGAGTATCCCAGGGGGATGGGCAGATGGACAGTCAGAGAAACAGACACACAGCCAGATGGGCCAGGTGGCCACCAGACCCAGGGGTACAATCTGTGCCCACGAGGACCGAGCTTGGCTGACTGCGTGCAGCACCTTGGAGACGGAGGGCTGGCCCGGGAGCTTCAGGTGCACAGATCACATGGGGACACACAGACACAAGGAGGGGGCAAACGTGCCAAGGCAAGAGCCAGGTTTCAACAGGCCTGAGTGGGGATCAGAGAGGCAGACAGCAGGCAGGCTGGCAGGCAGGCAAGGGTGGTTCCAGCACACTGGGGGCACACAGGGGCGTACATGGACAGAGGGGCCAGGTACCTTGGGTGGCTATGAAGTGGTTGGACCGATGGTAACCCTGGAAGAGGAGGAGAAGGGGTGTTGAGACCCCAGAGAGCGGCCCTCACTCCCTTAGACCTCCTCTGCCTCCCCTCCCATCAGGGAAAGGCCCCACCCTCGTCCCCAGGCCTCCTAACCAGGGCAGCCTCCAGGAAGGAGGCAGGCACACAGGGACACCAGGGTCTTGTTTCATCTCAACTTTGCTGTGGGACCCTGGGGAGGCCAGGGTTTCTCTTGGGCCAGAGGGTCTCCCTCCCCATAAAACGGGGAGAGCGAGCTGCTTGCCACCAGGCCTTGTTTGCAGATACTGGTCCAGGATGACCCTGCCCCATTCCCAGAGTCCTGGGTCCCAGGCCAGGGGAAAGCAGAACTTGTCAGCTACCACCCACCCCTCGGGACCACCAGAATGGATGGCATCCTTCCCTCTAATTCAGCGCTTGGGGCCTGGATGATGAAGGCTTCAGGTTTAATATGAATTAAATTATGAAGTAATATGAAGCAATGAGAATGAGATCTACCCATGGCCCTGAGATAAACACTGCAAACCTTAATCATCAGGAACAACAATGAGGGACTCATTCTGACACCTGTTGGGCTCACTAGCTAAGCACACTACCCACAATACCTCCTGCTAAAGCGAGGCCAGGCGCACCTGCAACCTCCCTACCCAAGACCTCGGGCTGGAGAGAGCAAGCAGCAAGCAGGCCCCTCCACCACACCTGCCCCGGGGGCCACAGGCATCCTCCTGGGCCACAGGGCCTGCCTGACACCCAGGGCATCAGTGTGGGCCACGTGGAAAGGGGGCCCCGCATGGCAGGGCTGAAGGGAAACCCACGCAGCTCAGCACAGCTGCCAGCGACTCCTTCCCCCAAGGACCCTGGGAGCCAGACTGTCAGAGTTCAGATCCCAGCTCGACCTCTTGCTAGCTGTGGGCCCTCAGGCAATAAACCCTTTCCTGTGCCTCCACATTCACATCTAAGAAAAGGAATAAGGATTGAATTTCCTTCCTAGGGCTGTTGTGAGCAGCCAATATCATACACACGTCAGGGCAGGCTTCGGTCTAGCAGTGAGGATGCCCACGTGCCACATTGGAGTGCCTGGGTTCAATTCCCGGCTCCAGCCCCCAACTCCAGCTTCCTCTCTCCGATGGCTAACTGTGTCCCTGCCACCTGGACTGTGTTCCCAGCCTCCAAAGTCGTGCCTGGCCCAGCCCTGGCCCTGGTGGAATCTGGGAAGTAAATCAATGAATAGGAGCACTCTCTAAATAAACAAGGAGATAGATAAATAAATACATGCTTCAAACAGCCAAGGCTGTTACAAAGTAATGTCTGCTAACTGTTGGCACTGTGTCAGACGGAAGGTCAGGACACAACACTCTCGCACGGCGACCTGCAAGGGTAAAGCAGGATCCCTGGAGATCCAAACAGCGTGCGTGATAGGAACGGCTGGGGCGGGAGGGGCTTCTCGGCCTTCCGTGTGCACGGCAGTCTCCTAGGGTCTCCGGAGAGGCGGATTCGGAGTCAGATCTGGGGCAGGGCCTGGGAGTGTGCATTTCTAGCCAGCTCCCAGGGGCTGATGCTACCAGCCTCAAAACACCCCAGGAAGCCAGCCAGGCTATCCACCTCTCTGTCTTGATTTTCTTCTGCAAGACACGTGCTGGGAGACTCTGCTGTCCCCTTGGAAAGGACCACAACACAGCCAGAGTGACCCACAAGGAACAGCGCCCTCATGTCACTCGGTCCTCCCCGGGAGTCTCCCCAGGTCTGGCCTGGTCCTCTCCCACCGGCCCTCCCAGCCACCCTCTGTGCTTCAAGTCCTCAGCATAGCAGCTGGGGCCAGAGGGGAAGGCAAAGAGGGGGATGGGCAGGGCCAGGAAGGGGCTGCGGGGGCTGCCCTCCCACGCCGGAGCGAGAGGAGCTGGGAGCAGGCACCTCCTTAAACGAGTCTAAGAACTCCACCTGAGAGCAGGGGCCTCACCCGATTCAGCCTCCCTGTCCCCCCAACCCCAGGCCCATACCAGTGCCAGCACTCAGGTGCCAATCAGTAAATAACGCAGGAATGAAATTCACCGGACACAAGTCAATGACGAGTGGCCGGTCAGTCCACAGTGCAGCTCTAGGACAAACGTGGCCACTTTGTTCCTGTACCCCACTCTTGTAGTGTTTGGGGGCACGAGGATGGTGCAGGGGCCACAAGACCTGCTTTGTCACATGATGTCCTTTGAAACAGGCTTTGAGGAGATACCCTTCAAAATCTGCATTTAAATACATGCATGTATTATTGCAAAATTATGTTACATGGGACTGGCATTGTGGCACCGTGGGTTAAGCTGCTAGCAGCAATACCAGCATCCCACATAAGCACTGGCTACTCTGCTTCTGATCCAGCTCCCTGCTAATGCTCCCAGGAAAGCAGTAGATGGCCCCAGTGCTTGGGCCCCTGCCACCCATGTAGGAGACCCAGATGGGGTTCCAGGCTCCTGGTTTCAGCCTGGCCCAACCCTAGATGTTGCATCCATTTAGGGGAGGGAACCAATGGATGAAAGATCTCTTGCTCTCTCTGTCTCTCCATCTCTCTCTCTAACTCTTTCAAATAAATAACTAACTTGTCTTTCACACACCCACGTTAGAGTCCAGGGCTTGGCAAGCACTAGCAAGCCCTGGTCCCCAAGCTGCAGGCGGGAAGCAGACAGGTACCAGGAGTGGGCAGAGCGCTCCTGCGTCTAAGCTCGCCCCGGAGTGGGAGTGGGGGATGGGGCACATGCATTGCAGGCAAGACCACCCCTAAGGCATCCTGATGCTCCCCAAAGGGCAAGAACCACAGTCTAATGTGACAGTCAAGGGCGAAGGCTGGGTTTGCCAACCAAGAGCCCTGTTACCTTGAGCAAGCCACTGAACGTGACCAAGCTTCTTTTTTTTTTTTTAAGATTTATTTATTTATTTATTTATTTGAAAGGCAGTGTTAGAAAGAGGCAGAGGCAGAGAAAGAGAGAGGTCTTCCATTTGTTGGTTCACTTCCCAAATGGCCACAATGGCCAGGGGTGGGCCAATTCAAAGCCAGGAACCTGGAGCTTCATCTGGGTCTCCCACATGGGTGCTGGGGCCCAAGCACTTGGGCCATCTGCCACTGCTTTCCCAGGCCACAGCAGAGAGCTGGATTAGAAGTGAAGCAGCCAGGACTCAAACCGGCGCCCACATGGGATGCTGGCATTGCGGCTTTACTCACTACACCACGGTGCCAGCCCCATGCCTCCATTTTCTTATGTGTCAAATGTGGCTCAGTAAGATCCCTGCCTCGCAGAGATAAGGAGCTGAAATGACGCATCGAAGGCGCCTGGTGCACCACCGGTGCCAGGCAGGACACGACTGTTAACCGGCATTTGAAGGAGTGTGAAGCCAAGGCTTCTACGGGTATTTCTCAAGAGTCTGAAATGATGAGCCAGCGGGTGGGATTTCCGAACAGGTGGGTTGCTGTGTAAACTCAGATGTAAGGAAGTGCAATATGCACCACCTCCTCATGGGGGCGCTGCGGCTCAAACACCCACTGCATCTTGGGGGCCCAACCTTCCTTCCAAATCTGAATACTGGAGCCGGCCTGTGGCCCAGCCCTGGCCACTGGGGCCATTTGGGGAGTGAATCAGCAGTTGAAAGATCCCTTTCTCTCTATCATTCCCTCTCTCTCCATAACTGCCTTTCAAATAAATAAAACATATCTTTAAACAAATTCCCAAATACATACAGTTGAGAGTTTTACAAACCAGATGTTTAGCCACAATCAAAATGAGGGCTATGTCCAGGATAACTGGTCACCTCCAACAGACGCTGCCGAGGAAAGCGTCCACTTTATTGTATATTATGTTGCTAGAAATTCTGATAATGAGGAGTATTTTTAGCAATACTTTTAAAAGGAAAGAAGAGATAAGCCAGAAAAGGTAGCTGCAACATAGTGGAGTTCCATCTAGGGGACGGCATTGTGGTGTACCAGGTTAAGCAGCTGTCTACAATGCCAGCATCCCATACAGACGCCTGTTCGAATCCCAGCTGCTCCACTTCCAATCCAGCTCCCTCTAATGTGCCTGGGAAAGCAGCAGAAGATGGTCCAAGTACTTGGGCCCCTGCCACCCACATGGGAGACCCAGATGGAGTTCCAGGCTCCTGGTTTCGGCCTGGCCCAGCCCTGGCCATTGCAGCCATTTGGGCAGTGAACCAGCAGATGGAAGATATCGAGAGTTCTCTCAATCTCAATCTCTCTCTCTCTCTCTCTCTCTCTCTCTCCCATTCCCCCTCTCTCTGTAACTCTGCCTTTCAAATAAATAAATAGTAGGTCAGCACCGTGGCACAGTAGGTTAAGCCACCTCCTGCAATTCCAGCATCGCATATGGGAGCCGATTTGAGTGTCTGCTGCTCCACTTCTAATACAGTTCTTTGTTAATGGGCCTAGGAAGGCAGCAGAGGATGGTCTAAGTTCTTGGGCCCCTGCCACCTTCGTGGGAGACCCAGATGAAGCTCCTGTCTCCCGGCTTTGGCCTAGCCATTGCAGCCATTTGAGAAATGAACCAGTGAATGGAAGATCTTTCTCTCTCTCTCTCTGTAACCAATAAATAAATCAATCCTTTTAAAAATAAATCTTTTTGAAAAATTGCATTTGTCATCAAGTTTTATGACTATATATATATATATATATGCATCAAAATCAAATCAGAGGAGCCAGCATGTGGCAGGGCAGGTAAAGCTGCTGCCTGCAACACCAGCATCCTGTATGAGTGCTGGTTCCGGCCCCAGCTGCTCCACTTCCAATCCAGCTCCCTGCTAATGGCCTGGGGAAAGCAGTAGAAGATGGCTCAACTGCTCGGACCACTGCCACCCACATGGGAGACCCAGAAGAAGCTCCTAGCTCCTGGCTTCGGCCATTACAGCCATCTGGGGAGTGAACCAGCAGGTGGAAGCCCTTTCTCTCAGTCTCTCCCTCTCTCTTGCTGCAACTTTACCTCTCAAATAAATAAACAAAATTAAAAATCTTTTAAGAAAAATCAAATCAGAGGATCACTGGGTAAATTAGGTTTTTTTTTTTTAATTCTTAAAAGGCCAAAAGATGGCACAAATTTGAGAATATTCAAACTGTCCCCCCAGAAAATATCCAAGTTAGGACTAAATTGAGGTTTGGGCTGATTCGAGCACACTGATCACGAAGGGACCGGATCACCAGGAAAACCAGTTTAGGGGCAGAGGGGTGGGCACCGACTGGAAGCTTCTGGCAAGCACCAGACACGGGGCCACCAGGGCAGCTCCCCAAACCCCAAGAGCCCTGCAGAAGGCGTGGCTAGTGAGGGCTGCTTGGGGGAGGCAGGCGCCCCCACACCGCCGCCCCGCCCCGAGGCACTGGAGCACGGGAGGGACCTGCTGGCAGCTGCTGACATGGACGGCTGGTGCCCGGCGCTCGAGGAGAGGGGGAGGACAGGGACAGAGAGAGAGAGACAGCAGAGACGGCGAGAGTCTGAGACACGGCCAGTCAGACACGGGGAGGAGCAGGAGGAGGGGGGAGGATACTTACTTGGCGGTTTATCCGAATCTTAATGATTCCAGTGAGGAACAGTACAAAGCAAAAGAGACAGAGATTAGGCCAGAGGCGGATGGAGGTGGACGGAGCACGGGAGTGGCTGTGAGCCAGGGGGGCAGAGCAGACATGGGTGGGCTGCGCTGGGGAGGGGCACGGCCCTTAAGCTGGCTGAGGAGAGGCCCCAGTGCCACCAAAGCTGCCCACATCTTCAAGACCCAGGCCCAGCTCTCACGCCAGCCGAGGGACAGGGTGGCAGATGGGGGCGAAGGCAAGGGCTTCTGGGAAACCCAGGGTAGCACCTCCAACACCAGGAGGAAATAAAAAGCAGGAGCACTCAGATCACCTCCAGAGCCCCCACGCTCGGCTCCCAGGACAAGCCTTGCTCCTCTGCCTGGAAGCGCCTTCCCTCTCTTCGCCAGCCCCCCGCCGCCCGCTCACGCCCCACTCGATGGGTCCCCACAGCCTGCTGCAGCCAGCCCTGGTTCTGCGAGTTCTTCTTCCGACCAGCCTGCACTGCCCACCCCACCCCACCCCCGCCATCTGAACTCAAGGTTATTTTGCCAGTGTTGCTCTGCCTCCCCCACTAGAATGAATGAGTGAATGCACATATACAGGACGCGCACGGCCAAGGAAGGCAAGGGCTGGGCCTGTCTGGTTCCCATTGAATCCTGCTATCCAGCACAATCCATGGGAAGTGCTTGAAACTGACCTGATAAATGACCAACAAAAGATGCTGTCCCAAGCTTGGTGTGTGCAGGGAGCAGGGGGAGTGTGACCAAAGTCCCCAGAGAGCTGTCCCCTCTGACTCCTCACTCACATCGGGGAAACAGACCCATCGCCCCTTCTTGCTACCCCAGCCGGTCCTCCTGGCTCCCTTCCCTGTCATTGGCTACCTTCCTTCCAACCCAGCCCGATCCAGCCGCTGCAGCAGGCGGCAGGACAGCCTAACGGTAGCAGCAAAGGCCTGGAGACACAGACACAGATACTTGTCACGAGACCTAGGCCAAGCAGCCTCACCTCCCTGAGGTCCTGCTGTGACTGCCTTGAGGGTGGTTGTGGGGACTGCACACAATGAGGCCCCAAGAGTGCTCTGGGCACACAGCACACGCTCAGTGAACACACATTGTTTCCCTTGAAGCACCACTGTGGGCTTGGTCACACGCTTCAGCCACTCCCCGGGGCCCCTCGGGAAAGCCCGCTGACCGAGGCCCTCACGGTTTGCCCCCTGCCTACCTCTGCAGCCTCCCTGAGTATCTGAGAAGCCCACCCTCCAAGCCTCTTGGCCCCGCCCTGCGCGGGGAGCCTTCCTTTCCGCCTCTGCCCTTCGCCCAGCTCACAGAAGCCCCCATCTCTTGGGCTGACTCCGGCCTGCAGGAGCCTTCTAGAAGGCCCTCGCCCATTCACTCTGTCCTCCTCCTCCTCCGAGCTCCCTGGCACCGAGAGCAGGAGGCAGGGGGTGCTCAGACCTCGGTCCTGGGAGCCTCCCCTACTCCCGGACGGGTCTCTACCCGGCCTGGACAGCGAGCCTGGACAGCAAGCCCGGAGCGGGAGGGCCAGGGCAGCAGGAACAGCAGGGGCGAGGCACTCACGTCTATGTAGTTGGCGTTGATGTAGTCGGCGTTGGGATCTCCCAGCATCGGGTGGAGCTTCACTCGGTGCCGATCGTCTGTAAGTGCAGAGCAGGTGGACAGGCTGAGCTGGGGCAGCCCAGGCAGGGCAGGGAGGGAACCCAGAGGCTCAGGGCTGACCAGAAGGCTCTGAGCCTCACGGGAGGTCGGACAGGCCGGGGGGAAGCCTGTACCACGCAGCCAAGGAGGCCCAACAGTGTACGCTGGCAGGTTATCAGTTGTGCAGCCCTCCTGTGCCTCAGTCTCCTCATCTGTGAAGTGGGGACACACTTACTCCACAGGGCAGCTGGGAGGACATGGACACGACAGGTATGACGCTCAGTGCAGGGCTGGCCTCAGTCAACAGTGGCCAATGCTTCTAGAACCTCCGAGGCTGTACTCCCCCTTCCTGGGCCCCTCCCCACTGCCACCCTGGACCCCAGCCCCTCCCCCTGGACTCACAGGCAGACATCGGCTCCTGCCGGCCGCCCTGGAGCTTGTCTTTCTTCTTCGTGGCATCCCAGCCTTCAAAGAAACTCTGCCAGAAGGGAAATGGTGATCAGTGGGGGTGGCGGGACCCCCCATAGGACCCTCCCCCTCCAGCCTATAGGACTCCGTCCCTCCACAGGGGCAATGGGGCAGCCGTGAGGGTCAGGTACAGGGCTGAACCAGTCACCACGGGTCCCTCCATCAGCAAGGGACAAGGTTCAATACCAAGAAGGGTGGGAAGAAAGGAAGTGAGAACAGAGACGTTTCAGGACAAGGGTCAAGTTTAGAACAAAGGTCAAATCCAGACTGGGGCTACAAGGAAGGCAACAGGAGGCTCAGAATGAGGTTGGGCCAAGGGTGTGTCAGAGTCTAGAGGGAGGCAGGGCAGGACCCACGGAAGAGCTGTCAGGAGCTTAGGATGAGAGGCAGGGTCCACACTGGGGAAAGGTCGAAGCCAGGTCCAGATTAGGGACAGCGTGAGGGTCACAACCAGGATCCAGATGGAGACTGAGATGGGACTCAAAGCAGAGTTAGGAGGAGAGTAAGAAACCAGGGCAGGGTGAGGCCCGGATGCGGGCCAAGGTCAAGGCCATAAAGGTGGTGGGGGGGGTGTGTGGCCTCTGTCAGAGCCAGGGTGCAGCCAGGGCTGGGCCCCTGTGAGGTGGCAGCAGGCGAGGCCCAGCGGGCGTGCTGGCAGCACCGGGCTGAGCGTGCACCTCGTACTCCTGCTTGAAGCCGTAGCCCTCGGCCGTCTTCATCTGGTTGATGTGCTGCAGGAGGTCGGCCACTCGCACTGCAGGGTGCAGCTGCCCTGTGTGGTACGGGGAGCCCTTCCGGCCACACGGGCGCCGTGGAGAGCCCCCCAGCAGGCTGCTGGCCTCGGTGACCCCGCCACTGCGCTGCTCTCCTGCAGTGAGGGGGAGACAGAGGGGTTCCTGCCACCGGGAGCACCGGCATCACAGCCTACATGCGGGAGGCTGGACTGCTTGCGGGAGCCCACAGCCTGGCAAGGCCTGCCTGGGACCCCAGGCAAGCCCCTACCCTTTGGTGGGCTTCCCAGATCATGTGACCTCCAAGGGCCCCCCACGTCCCTGACACTCTGGGATCCTGTGATACCCTCACCTCACCCCGGGTGGTGTCCCCACACTGCCTGCAGGGACAGAGCTCAGCAGGGCCTAGGACAGCCACCCCGCCTCCCTCTCTTCCAGGGAACAATCTGGAACACTGGCAACGCCCCGTAATCACCGCCATTCAAAGAGGAGCACATCAGAACGAGCTGCCGCCCCACCCTCCCTACAGACTGCAAGGCACCTGATCAGAAGCCTCCCTTGTGCGCCAGCGTTTCCATGGGCAGCCATGCACGGCCTCTGCCCGTGGGGGCAGGTGGGAGGTTCACAGTGCCCCACACTCCCGCCCCTCCCCACTCTCCCCACCAGCATCCCCAGGCTCAGCCACACCCACCTCAGGACACTCACTCCCACCGACTTACTCCTCCCAGCCTAGCACTGCCCACAGCCCTTCTCTGGCAGGCCTGAGCTGGCAGGCGCCCGCGGGGGACCCCCAGTGGAGCTCAGGCGCCTGCCCGCACCCTCCCATGCCTTCCCACAGGCTGCTCCCTCTGCCTGGGGCACCCTTCCTCCCCCCACTCTCAGCTCACACTCATCCTCCTCAGGGACACCTCCTCCCGCGCCTGGAACTCCTACTCAGTGACACCCAGCAGGACCCCAGGAGAGACCCCCCCCCCCAAGAACCCAACCTCCCCCAGCTGCACTCACATCGGGGAGCTCTCCTTCCTCTGCCGGCCTGGCCCGTCCCGGCCACGGTTTGAGAACGGCCAGCAGGTGGAAAGGCAACGCGCCTCAGGGCTCCTTCCTCCCTCCTCCCAGGAATAGCAGTCGTCAGCTGCCTCTGGGTCAAGGTCTGAAAACGGCTGCTTTGCACATCGTTGGATTTCAGGGGCTCCGGTGGGAGGGCAGCTCAAGTGCAGTGACACCGTCGCGGCCGGGTGCCGCAAACCCTTCATTTCATAGGTGAGGAACCCGCGGGCTGCAGAGAGGACTGGCCTCCCGCAGCGGCTGCCAGAGCGCGTTCCAGAAAACACCAGGCATGCAGGCTGACGCCGGCGTTCCGTGAGAGAACAGCAGGCTGGACAGGGTCTGCGAAACCCTGGGATACACAAATCAACTGGCTCTCTTCCCTCACGGGGCTGGGGCACGTTATTCTGCCAGGGGCCATGTGGATACTTATGACATCATTTGCAGGCCATCCACGACGATCAACTTAGAAATGAGCCTGCTATAGACGTATTGAATTTTGAGGTCCACCTGCGGGTGCCTTGGCAGGGCCAGACCAAAGTGATTCTGCAGGCCGAGCATGGCCCGTGGCTGGACGCTCCCCACCCCAGCGTCTAAGACCTCTTGGGGCTTCCAGCGTCTGTGTACATCTTACGCCTCTCAGACATGAGTGGAAACAGCACAGCTATGAACACCTCCCCACCACAGAGGGCTTTCTGCATTTGTTTCATGAAATATCATTGGGGGGGGGGGACAGGCACAGCATCATGTGGGGACTGCGAGGAGGCGGGCTCTGGAGTCAGACCTTGCCTCAAACCCCAGTTCTGCACGTGACCTTGCCCACGTTCACTGACCCTCTTCTAACTGCCGTCCACACACTCCTGCTCTCTGATAGGATGACGTCACCAAGGTGATGGGCATAAAGCAGCCAGCCCAGGGCCTGGCACACAGGGACCACCTGCCCGTGGCAGCTGCGGGCATTCCCAGGATGGGGGGAACGCCTTGAGCCCAAGAGAGCCCGGGCAGCCGACTGACAAGAGCCGGTTCCTTCCCCACCGTGGGCTCGTCGGGCAGGGACCCGAGAGCAGCCTCTCCCATGATTCTCAGGAGCATCCACCACAAACACGAGACGAGCGCCGCGATTTCAAGAGCCCTAGTGCTCTCTGTGGAAACCAGGCTGACAGCCCCGCAGAGAGCCCTTCAGGTGGAGGACGGCGCAAGTGAGGGCGCCAGGGGCCCAGGCAGCTCCTTGGGCGCTGCTGCAGGCCGGGCGGCCCTGACGTGGCCTCACAGTGGGCGTGCAGCCAGCTCACCGTGCCCGGGCGCCAGCGAAACAAGTCCTCCTGCTTGAGATCCCGATGGGCAGCCCGAGCCAAGTCCACAGCTCACCACGTGTCCTAAAGCCACCCGCCAGGAAGTGACAGGGTGGTGTTCCCGAGGCGACCCTGCACTCCCTGGGCCCAGGAGGCAGCTCCCCACGGACCTGGCCCAGGAACCTCCTTGGCAGAATCAAAACACACTTCCTGCCCTGCCACAGCCCAGTCCCCAAGGACCAGCTCGCCCGCAGCTGCCAGCCCGGGAGGGAGGAATGGGACAAGTAGCCCTCAGTTTCCAGCTGGCCGAAGGCTCTTCCCTGCTGTTGTGACCATGGCACATCATCTGTGAGCACTTGTAGGGAGGGCTGAGGCCCTGAGCGAAGAGCACCGGGTCTGGGGTCAGAAGACCTGGATTCGGATTCTGACTCAAGTCCCCAGGCCCCCGGGGGTCTCGGTTTCCACATCTGGAATTGAGAATCCTCAGCCTTCCTTGGACACAGAAGACACACACGCACCCCCAGCCCCCACCCAGTTACACAGTCCGCTAGCACCCAGACTGTTCCTTTGCAGCCTGTGTGAGCAAACAGCTTTCCTAAAGAAACCCAGCCCCCAACAACAGCGGACGGTCCCTAACGTGTTGAGCACTTTCACAGGCCTGGCATGGTTCTTAAGTCACTTAACACCTAAAACACCCTTACAAGCAGACACTATCGCTACACACAAAGGAAGCAACTGAGGCACAGCAGGGTGGATTCCAACCCAGGCCCCTCTGACTCAGGGACCCTGTGGTCCACCCTGCCATCTCTGCTTCCCTCTCCCTGGTAAAAGAACCTGGCACTTACAGGACAAACCCACGGGTACCCAACAGGGCTCAGCAGCTCCAGATGGACAGGAGGGCTTGAGGGGTTCTGAGGGTGTCTTGGGCAGGGTTCAGAGCTGGGGGGAGGAAGGTCCCAGCTGGCCTCCTCACACCAGCCTGCCCCCACTCACCCCATGTGGGAAGCCCCTGTTTTAGAATCTGCACCTAAAGGATGCATCACACCCAGCCTGGTTTTCTAGTCCAAACTACAACTTAGCCTCTACCGTTCAGAAAAGAACAGAAGAAAGGCAAAGCTGGACCAGCGCGTGGCGAGCAGAGACAGGGACAGAGGGTGCAGAGGAGATGTGTCTCCAGTCCCCCAGACCCGCCTGGGGCTGCCTGGCTCCAGTCCCCCAGACCCACCTGAGTTTCCTGCCATCCCACCCTGGCCCGTGCTCTGCATCCTGCCCTCAGTGCCCAACAATGCCATCACCACTAGTCAAATCCTATCCAGTTCAACCCAGACACCGGCCACCCCTGCCCAACGGTGCATGCTCGCAACGCCGGGGCTGTCCTAATCACTCCCATCACCCACAGGGCCATGAGCCTCGCCCGGGTCGGCCTTGACTCCCAGCTAGAAAAGGAGTTCCCTGGGAGCAGCGGCCAAGGTTCCTGGCCCTCTGTCCCTCAGCAGCGCAGGCCTGTTCCCACGCCACCCTCACCTCCCACCCTCCTCACCCCCAGCAGAGAGGAGACACAGCCCACTGGGATCTCTCCCCAGTGCACACCTGCAGGCCTTCGCACGCACTGTTCCTCGTCTCCACCCCTCCCTGCCTGGAGGCCCAGAGGCGCGCTGTGGAAACAACCACTTGCCATTCAGAGAGGCTGGCACTTTCTGGACACGTGGCTCCCCCTCTCTGAACCTCTGATAGCTCATTTGTAAGATGAAGGATTTGTCCCGACTGCCAAGCAGGGCGAAACGGTGAAATTTTAATGACAGAGATTACAAAGAGAACCTGCGGATGAAAGATCTCTTTCGTGCTTTCTCTATCCCTCCGTGTCACTCCACTTTCAAATAAATAAATAAATAGTTTTTAAAACATCTTGACTAATCAGTAAAAATGAGACATCATAGGGGGTGGACACAGCCAAGATGCTGCTTGTGGCTTGTGACACCTGCGTTCTTTACCGGGTGCCTGCGTTTATCCCAGTGACAAACCCACTGGTACCCCCGGGGCTCAGCAGCTGCACACGGACAGCAGGGCTTGAGAGGGCTGAGGGTGTCACAGGCAGGATTTCAGAGCTGGGGGGAGGAGGGGACACCAGCCTGCCACCACCCACCCCATGTGGGAAGCGCAGTTTCCTGCCAGTGCGCACCCTGGAAGGCAGCAGGTGAGCATTCTAGTAGTTGGGTCCCTGCCACCCACAAGCGACATCTGGATTGAGTTCTCAGCTCCTGGCTTTAGCCTGCTCCAGTTCCAGCTATCACAGGCACTTGGGAAATGAACCAGCAGATGGAAGGTACCTCTGTCTCCGTCTGTCTCTCTCCTTGTCTCTTTGCCTTCCAAATATGTATTATATATAATACATAATGACCAAGTTGAATTTATTCCAGGAATGTAAAATAATGTTAACATTAGAAAATCTAAAAATGCCACTCACTCCATCAACAGATGAAAAAAAATGACCATCGCAAATAACCGCAGATAAGAGCATTTGGCAAGTTTAGTACACATTTAAAATAAAACCTCTCAGCAAACTAAAAACTAAAGGGAACTTTGTTAACCTAATAAAACATTTCTACCGCAAACCCACAGCAAACTTCATTCTCAGTGTGTAAATGTTACAAGCATTCCTCTTCAAGTCAGGAAAACAAAGCCAGGATTCCTGCTATAACCACTGCTATTCAACACCGCACTGGAGGTCCCAGCCAGTGCTGTGCAGAAAAACACGGTGAGGCAGGGAGCAGGAGAGGGAAGAAATGGAAAGAAAAAAAAAAAAAAAACTGCAGATCTTTTTGAATCTAGAAAAATCTGAAAGATTCTACACATGGGAATTAATAAGATATATAAGATCAATCCGTACACAGAAATCAACTGTAAAATCAACTATATTTCCCTATACAAGAAACTGTTAGAAACGTAACATTTTAAAGGGTGTCATTTGCCAAAGGAGTTAAGAACAAGGGACCTGGGGATGCAGCACCTAACAAAATACGTACAAGATTCTGTGGAGAATTATCACTGAGAGAGGTTCAGGATCTAACTAGAGGGAGCGATGCACGTCGTGTTCACGGACTCAAAGACAGCTTCGTCAGATTCCACTCCCCACAGTGACTCACAGATCTGGTACGAACCCACCCAGCGGAGTTTTTCAGGAATTGGGAAAGATGGTTGTGAAATGTTCAAGGAAGAGAATGAGGGCAAAAGTAGCCAGGACGCCCCCATGAAGAGAGGGCTGGGAGGGCTCGCCGTTCCCCACAGCAAGACTCAGCGCGCTGCAGTCAGACAGCGTGCTTCTGCCTGGTGACAGAGAACAGGGAGCAAAACAGCGCACACACGTGTGGAAACCTGCAAAGCAGCAGTGAGAGCATGCGCTACAACAATGACGCTGGCATGGCTGGTACCCCCACGGGAGAAAAAATAAAATCCTTCATTGACAACACACACAGGAATCCATCCCAGAGCAGCCCTTGAGGTGCTGCTTGTCACACCTCCACCCCACGTCAGGGGCCTGGGTTCGGGTCCCGGCTCCGCTCCCTGGGCCAGCGTCCTGCAGGTGTGCACCCTGGGAGGAAGCAGGTGACTGTTCAGGTGCTTGGGCCCCTAACCCCAAGCAGAGACCTGGATTGCATTCCCAGCTCCTGGTTTCAGCCTGGGCTAGCCCTGGCTCTTGCAAACAATCTAGGGGTGAACCAGCGGGTGGAGGATCTCTCTCCATTTCTGTCTCTCTGCCTTTCAAATTAAATAAATAAATAAATAAATAAAAGCAATTCCAGCTAAGGATTTAAATGTGAATGTAAAATATTAAAAGTTTCCAAAAGAAAGTAAAAATACATATGAACTTGCCTAAGGAAGAGATTCCTTAAGAAAACCCAAAAAGTAGAAATCAAAAGAGGAAAACACTGATGCATTTGACTACTTTAAAATAAAAACCTTCTGTGCATCCAAAGACACTATAAATAACCAGGAAAGATGAGCCACAAATTGGAAGAAGATATTTGCAATTCGTTAAGTGACAAATCTTTATTATCCTAAATATATAAAGAATGCCTAAAAACCACTAAGAAAGCAACCAAAAAAAATCCATAGAAAATTAGGTAAAAAAACATGAACAGGCACTTCACTGAAAGAGAGACCTGAATGGCCAGTAATGACTTGAAAATATGCTCAACCTCATTAGTAATCAAAGAAATGCAAATGAAGACTATAGAAAATTACCATCTTACATAAACTAGTTTGGCAGAAGTGAAGGAGGCTTGCAAATCTTGATCTTGATGTACAGCACTAGAAAGTACTACACACACTGCTGGGAGCGACACAGGCAAAGCCGCTCTGGAAGACAACTCGCCTCGCCTTACCAAGTTGAACAGCCACGCCCTCCAGGTTCCAGCAATCCTACTTCCAGACCCTGACATGCAGGTGCAACGGGAGACTCACGTGAGAATGCTCACGGCAGCCTCACTGATGACAGCGAGAAAGCTAGAAATTAACCAAATGTCTACGGATGACAGAACAGAGACGGCGCCTGTAACACAGTCACACACAGGAAAGCCATCCATCAGGGAAAGTAAACCGACTCAGCGAAGCAGTCCCGTGGGTAAACGTTAGAGGCGTTGAGCTGAAGAACAGCATAGCCTAGCAGTTAAGATGCCCACGTCCCACGTGGGAGAGCCTGGGTTCAGTTCCCAGGTCCAGCTCCCAACCCAGCTGCCTGTTAATGCAGACCCTGGGAGGCAGTAATGATGGCCCGAGTGACTGGGTTCTTGCCGCCCATGGTGTTCCCAGCTCCTGGCTTTGGCCTGGGTTGTTGGAGATATTTAGGGAATGAACCACTGGATCTCTCAATCTGTGTCTATCTCTGTGCTTTTCAAACATTTACTCTAATACACACACATGATTTTTATAGAGCTCAAAAGTGAGAGAAACTATGTTATGCGTTGTTTGGGGATATAAGCACACTTGGTGAAACTATGCCCAGAAATGCAAGAAAATTATCAACATACATTTCCCGAGAATCTCGAGGACTATGAGGAGGGGGGGGACGCAGCCAGGTGGCGTGTTCTCACTCACCAGTGGGGTGCACTGCCTGAGTCACAAGGACTCTGTGACCTGCACAGACATCACACATTCTCCTCGGTACTAATCAACACCAAGCAAAGCACGAAGACGAGGGACGCAGGCACTCATGACACAACCCTAGCACGGGGCCGCTGAAGGACCTGCACACGTGATCTCCTCTAGTCTTCCCACCAGCCCCACCAGCAGAGATGATTCCTATTGCTATTGGGTACGTGAGAAAACGGACGTCCAGAGAGGTTAACCAGCTCATCCCAGGTCTCACAGCTAAGAAAGGATCTGAGGCAAGCCCAGGGCTATGTGACTGTGCATGAGTCCTCCCCAGCCACTGGGTCCCCGCCGCTCATTCAGCAAGCACTCAATAACCAGCGAGGCCTCTGATCCCTCTGTCCACACAGCAGCACTGAGCACTTGCTCCTGGACGAGCATCCCTGTGTCCCCCTTACTCCCGCACAGCTCCTGGCAAGCCCCCCGCCCCAAAACCAACACAAAGATCTCCCTGCCTCCCGTGCTTTCTCTACACCTCCAGCGCCAGGGCAGCATCCAGCAGGAGCTCAATGGATGCTTCCACCTGGGGTCAGGGAGCTGCAGGACCCACCTGATGTGAGGAGGGCCCTGGGGGCTTCCATCCCCTGGCTCAGCTGCAGAGCCCCGAGGCAGGGGCAGGGGCCGCACTCACCCCGCGGGCTGTAGCCGTGGGCGTCCATGAAGCTCAGGCCCAGGCGCTCGTCCTCCTGCAGGGTGCTCTGGTCCGTGAAGCTCCGGTCCACGGCGCTCATCATGTGCGTCTTCTCCTGGCGGTAGTTGACGGTGGCCTTGGTCATGTTCACCGGCTTCCTGCAGGGGGAGCCACGGGGCACACAGGTGCTGTGCCAGGCTGGACAGCGGCCAGAGGTGGGTGGGGAGGCCCAGCAGTGAGGGGCCTTGGGACCAGGTGCAGACGGCTGTTCTGGAAGCATCTCTGCATGGGGAGGGGGCTCTGCCTCCATCCTTCACTCACCAGACCCAAACAGGGCTGGCAGGGTCCCTGCCTGAGATCTCTCCTGGCAGCAAGGGACGGGGCACAGTGACCTCGGCTGGGACCCTGACCCTAACTCTCACTGGCCCCAGGTGCTCAGGAAATGGGCAGAAAAGTCCCTGGGCCTGACCTGTGTCACAGCAGAGCCACCCTTGCTGAACCCCAAGCCAGGAGGAAGGCCACCCCAGCCCCAGCACGTCACCCCCCCACCCCACCCCGTCCTCTGAGACACCTGCCCCGGGAGCCCTTTCTCCCACAGCGGGGATGCCACGTGTCCCTCCACAGCGAAGGGTCTGGCCCAGCCGTGGTCAGGAGTGCCCTGGGCACAGAGCAAACTGCAGCCTGGGCTCCGTCGTACTCCATCACCCCAGGATAGCCCCACCAAGGACCACGCAGACTCGCAAAGAAATCCACATGGGGTCCATGTTCCCACCACTGCCGGAAGCCCAGCCACTCCCAGAGCAACAGTGGGGGAAGTGAGAAGCACCCCCCACTCAGGCCCAGCTCCACAGGGAGGAACGGCAGTGGGGACCCCAGAGGAGCTAGAGGGGAGGTGGGAGTGAGAACAGGGGAACGCAGCTCCGGGAGCAAGGGGCCAAGAATCAAGAGAGGGGGAAGCGACTTGGGACCCCGTGGAGGCTGGAGAAGAACCCCAGGGCCCCAGCCACACGGAAGGCTCAAGAGGAGACAGCAGATCACGTGCTCAGCCCCCAGCATGCAGGACACAGGGCAGACCCAAGAAAGCACTTCCAGGGTATGAGGGTTCAGGGACCATGATCACCCACGGGGTGAGGCGACCAATGCAGGCGTCTCCCAGGCAGCAAACTCCAGCGAGCCTGCCCTGGACTCCAGAGCCACAGGGGGCAGGGGCAGGACACAATGACCTCTGGGCACCAGGACCACGTGTGCTTCCTGTGCTAAGACAGCTGTGTCCACGCCGAGACCACTGCTGCTGTGCACCGAGGTGGGCATGGCCCTCCCAGCCTGAGCGAGAGACGGCTCAGCCACCCAGGCCTCTACTCCTCCCCACCAGGCAGCTCTGGGCACCACCCTCCCTGTGGCCCAGGACAGGGCCAAAGAGCCACTGGGGGTCAGGTGGGGGGAAGGTTCTGTGGCTATGACCTTGACCACCTAGAGAGGGGAAGACGATCAGGAGGAAGCAGAGAAGGAGCAGTAACAAAGAGAGAGATGGGGGAGGGGGCAGCAGGAGGGACAGGCCAGACCCCAGCAAATCCCAGGGCAGACAGAGGCCCTGTCCAGCTGACAGCCGGCCCAGCGGGCTGAGCGACAGGCCTAAGAGGACTTTCTGCGAGTGCTGCCGGCCTGGGCGGCCACTTCCCATGCACACAGGGCTCTGTCCCCAGCGGGACTCCTGGTCTACACAGACACAGCCCAGGTCCCCAGGAGCAGAGGCTGTGAGGGATCTGGCTGATCCTGACGTGAGGTTGCATGGGTGGAACTAAGCACAGACACTGCCAGAGGTTCTGCAGGCTCACAAATGAACCGCGCGGGGAACGCGGGAGGGAGCGCTGCCTGGTCAGCGGTTCTGTGACAGCCGCGTGGGCTCAGGTGCAGGATGCAGAGGTGGCTGCTGGGAAAGCTGGGGCCGGGACACAGCGACCTGAGTGACAGGTCCCGGGAGGAGCAGGTGAGAGACCCGCCGTCCTCTGGGCTGGCCTGCTCTGCAGGGGAGGGGCCAGCCCCAGTATGGAGAGCACAGTGAGGCTCAGGAAGGGGATGTGACCTTCTCAGGGCAACTCACAGAGCCAGCCTTGAACACTGCGACCAGCTAACTGCAAAGCCAGCACGGGTGGCCACACTCAGGGGGAGTGGGGAGAGGAAGACGGAGAAGCAAGAGACACAGTAGAGAGAGAACAGAGGATGAGAATCAGAGCAGAGGTGGCCACCGAGAGTCCAAGGCCAGCCAGGGGCGGGGGGCAGGAGGTCTCGCCCTAAGAGGGGACTCAAGACCAGTGGGAGCTACTTACGGGTAGTAGGAGTAGGCATAGTGGTCTCTCCTGGCCGCGTGCAAAGAGAAAAGAGCACAGTGTGTCCCAGACCTTCCAGCAAAGCTGGCCTGAGGGCCATGCCCGACCAGCACAGGACCAGCCAGGGACCACAGGTCCAAAGGCCACCCTACCCCAGGGGCTGCCCAGGCTCTGACACTGAGGACCAGAGCCCAAGGTTCTTCCAGAACCTTCTGAGAGCCTGCTGCTGTAGCTAGAAGGCAGGGAAAGGGCCCAAAGCTTTCATGAAGTCATACATACACACAGACTCAGAAAAACACTCATATGCACATCCTCACACAACATGTATGGAAATGCACTCACACTCATGCAGGGGGAAATGCACACCGACACACTCACGCACACACACGTAGTCAACACCCTCGCAGACGCGTATGCATAAACACAGATATCATCTGAGCACCTGCGCTCACCCAGGGCTGCCTCACCCCTACACACAGCCCCTCACCCGCAGGCCCCTCTTCTGAGAAGCCCTCTGCACACACCTCAGCTGGGAGGGAAGCAGGCACTGAAAACAGGGAGGGGCAGGGTGGGGAGGACTCCAGCTGGACACCCAGGGGTGTGGGGTCAAGGTCAAGGAGCCAGGTCACCCCTTCATAGAGGGGTCAAGAGTCCCACATTACTGCAAATCACTCCCAGTGAGAAGCAGAGCAGGGCTGAGTCCCACTTCGCAGATGGGGACGCTGAGTCCCAGGGAGTCGCGGGTTGCCCCGGGACTCTGAGGGTCAGAGGCAGAATTCAGAGCAGCCCCAGGCCTCCTGCTGCCGGGCCCAGGTCTCTGGCCCTGGACCCCACCCTGCACTCCCTCCTGAGGTCCCATCCAGGCAGGCTCCAGGGTCTTCCATGCACCACCCCCAATATCACCCATCAGCAGGGACCTCAATGATGGCTCCACAAGGAAATCCTGCAGACTGGGGGCGGGAAGGAGAGAGTAGGGTAGGGGGGGCTAAGCTCCAGGACAGGTTGGCTCCAGGTTACACAGCCTCTCTCATCCATTCCAGGGAGGTGGGAGAGCCCAGGGTGTAGGGGTGGTCACAGGGGCCCCAGGGGGGAGGAGGGGGCTGAAGGAATGGCATTGTTCTAGTCCCAGGTGCCGTGACTTCCAGAGGGCCTATCCTAACCCCTCCCTAGTTACTGCCAACCACAAGTGTCCCCTCATTCCCTCTGCACTGTCCCCCCCATCCCAGCACCCAGTCCTTTTCACGGTTCCAACCACCTCATGCTTGTGTGCTTGAATTCTGTGCCAGGCTGCCCACCAGCTACGAAGCACAAGAGGGCAACATCCGTGCCTCTCTGTCCACGTGTGCACACGGCAGGGCCCAGCACGTCACAACCCTGGACTGGGGAAGGGGCAGGCATTTGGTGCTGCTGGGAGGACATGGCTTGGGCCATGCCCATGCCACACTGGAGTGCCCTCCCAACTTCAACTTCCTGCTAACGCACACCCTGGCTGGCAGTGAACAGGAGATACCTTTCTGTTGGTCTCTCTCCCTCTCCCTCTTGCTTGCTCTGCCTTCCAAATAAGTAGTTTTAAAAAAAAATAATAATGAACACAATGAAAAAAAATAAGAAGACATCACCTCCACAAGCTTCCATTTCCTCCTCTAGAAAAACGAACTATTGGGGCCGATGCTGTGGCATGCCGGGTAAAGACACCGTCTGCAGCACCAGCATCCCATATGGGCGCCAGTTTGAGGCCCAGCTGCTCCACTTCTGATTCAGGTCCCTGCTAACGTGCTTGAAAAGCAGCAGAAGATGGCCCAAGCGCTTGGCCCCTGCATCTCCATACAAGACTGAGATGAAGCTCCTGGCTCCTGGCTTTGGCCTGGCCCAGCCCTGGCCATTGCAACCATCTGGGGAGTGAACCAGTGATGGAAGATCTCTATATCTCTCCCTTTCTCTTTAACTCTGCCTTTCAAATAAATAAAATAAATATTTTTTTAAAAAGTGGACTATTTGAGACATAAGCAACAGGAAACCGAGGCCCAGCAGGTGCCAGCAAGCAGCTTCCTCCCTGTCCCCATGCCTGCTGAGCTGGGGGGTGGGGTTCAAGAGGACCTGACCCCACAGGGAACACCCAGCCCTAGCACAACTGCTGTTGCTCCATTGTGGAAGACGGCACTGCGCCAGGACCCACAAGGAAGTCAATGAACCGTGCAGGGCGAGTCCAGCACCCCGAAGGGGCAGGGCTGGGTGCTGGGCACTAGCAGCACAGCTGGGGTCTGAGCTGCACAGGGTGAGCAGGCCTCCCTGCCCTGCCCTAGAACTCCCTGCAGGCGACTGACCCCAGTCTGACTGTCCCCACGGGCAGAGCAGGATGGAACCTCTGAAATCTCCCCCACCCCACTGGCCCGTTTCCCAAAGTCCTCCCAGGCCCCTCCTACCTCCAATCAGGCCTCAGGGGCCTGGAGGGCAGGGAGTGGTGACTGTCTTACCTCAGCAGCCCCCAACTCTGTCCCATGATAGCCACAATGCAGACTTGGGGAGCCCCAAGGAGCTGAGCAGGCCCTGACGGCCAGGGGAGAGGCGGGGACACAGTGAGGGGCCAGATGGGACCGAGGCTGTTAGAGACATAGCAAGCTCAGGGTGGGGGCCGAGGGGCTCCTAGGACAGCCTGTGTAACACAGGGCTTCCGAGTGGGGCCCTGACCCTGTCTCTCTATGCAAAGCTGAGTGAAACCCCCCACTCAGAGCAGGGGCAGAGTACTAGGGTTTCAAGGGACCCCTCCCTTACAGCCCCCTCCACCTCTCGGGCCCCCTGCTGGGGAGAAGCACGGGAACCTGCTGCTTGCTGAAGAGGCCCCTACAGGACACCTGACGTGGTGAACAAGTGACACGGGCCGTGGCTTTCATTGGGATTTCTGCATCCATGAACGGGAGGCAGGTCTGCTTCATGAGTCAGCACCCAGGAGGAGGAGAAATTCTCCGACGGATCCCAGGCATCAGAACCGTGCCTGGCATGGAGCAGGTGCTCAGTCACTAGAGTACTAACGGCACACGGTAATTACTCACTAAATGATAGTGAAAATATTTCCTCATGAAGCCATGCAGGGACAAAAGAAGGGGAAAACCAGAGCCCTTGGCCGGCGCCGCGGCTCACTAGGCTAATCCTCCGCCTTGCGGCGCCGGCACACCGGGTTCTAGTCCCAGTTGGGGCGCCGGATTCTGTCCCGGTTGCCCCTCTTCCAGGCCAGCTCTCTGCTGTGGCCCGGGAGTGCAGTGGAGGATGGCCCAAGTGCTTGGGCCCTGCACCCATTGGGAGACCAGGAGAAGCACCTGGCTCCTGCCTTTGGATCAGCAGGGTGCGCCGGCCGCAGCGGCCATTGGAGAGTGAACCAACGGCAAAGGAAGACCTTTCTCTCTCTCTCACTATCCACTCTGCCTGTCGAAAGAAAGGAAGGAAGGAAGGAAGGAAGGAAGGAAGGAAGGAAGGAAGGAAGGAAGGAAGGAAGGAAGGAAGGAAGGAAGGGAAAAGAAAAGAAAAGAAAAGAAAAGAAAAGAAAAGAAAAGAAAAGAAAAGAAAAGAAAAGAAAAGAAAAGAAAAGAAAAGAAAAGAAAAGAAAAGAAAAGAAAAGAAAAGAAAAGAAAAGAAAAGAAAAGAAAAGAAAAGAAAACCAGAGCCCAACACCAGGACGTGCCGACCCCCCCCCCCCCAGCCGTGCTGGCACACCCAGCCCCAGACGCTCCTGCTGGTGCCTGCCTCAGAGGCCCTGGCCAGCTCTCTCATCTTCCTGGATCCCACTTATCTGCTCCCAGCAGCCCAGACAGCCAGTGCCAACTCACCCACGTGTGCCAGCCTGGCAGCAGCAGGGACTCCGCAAGCCAGAGCCCCGGAGGGTGGGGTGGGGCTGGCTCTGCCTCTGGCTCCGTGGGTGACCTTGAGCAGGTGTGTGCCTCCTGCCCCACCCCCAGCCCGCATCCCTCAGTTCAGGTGCTCGGACCACAGTGTCCCGGGGCTGCCTGGTGGGGAATGGGGAGTGGGGTTGCAGCCCGCAGGCAGAGGGGTCTCAGAAGCCCCTACCCTGCCTCCAGCCAGAGCTGCTGCTCAGCCTTCACCTGCTCCATCCTGGGGCTCCCAGGGCTGGGTTTTGCTTTTTCACTTCCATTGGTGCTTTGAAGACAGGTTCTGTCATTTTAAAAAGGTTTGGAAACCATTAGACTGGATATCTTTAAACTACCGGCAGCTCTTACTCTCTGGAGCTCAGAGCACCCTTGGTTCTAAGTTCTGAGATTCTTAGAATCCCAAATCCTGAACTTCTGGTCCTCCAAGATGCTAGGTTCGGGATTCCCAGAGGTGCTGGGGATGCATCTGATCTTCGCAACATGCATCAGGAAGCCAGCGCTAGGAGGCCCAGGAGGACTCCCCGGGATGCAGGGTAAGCCGAGCCCAAGAGAGGGTGGGACCCAAGGAGAGCCCCGGGTCTGTAGGAGAGTGAGCACCACCCCCAGCTCACCCAGCCCCATGTGGTGGGAGGTCTGCAGGGAGCCAGGGAAGTCAAGTCAGGTCTGTTCCACACTCTCCTCATTACGACAGCCCGCCCAAGCGCAGGAGGGGAGTGTCTGCTCCCCGCACCGCCCTGGGCACCCCGGACTGAGCACCTCCCCCGGGTAACGCACCTGGCACCAGCCAGACCTGTGTTCCAGCCACACTGCTCTGGGGCAGTGCCGTTTGCTGAGTCTCTGGCTTCCCGGTACCCAAGTCAGAGCCTCTGTAGGCCCAGTGCCCAGTCTGGCAGCCCTCCAGACACCTGCCAGATGGCTGCCCCGCCAGGCCCCAGCCACCACACTCTGCGCCCACCAGGCCTCTGTGGGGCGGCGGCCGCAGTGGGCCCGGAGGCCAGCCCCACTCACCCCTTGCGGATGATGACGATAATGGCCCCCAGCAGGAGGATGAGCACGGCCAGGCCGCCTGCACAGATGCCCAGGATGAGCCCCATCTCCTCCGACCTCTGGGACACCTCCAGGGGCCGCTTGCTTTCCTTGCAGGCAGCTGGGAGAACAAAGCAGGACAGAGGCCCAGAGTGGGCAGAGGAACACTGAGTTCCCCGCTGCAGCCACACGAGCCCCAGCGGCAAACCTGGGTGGCAGGAATACACGTGTGCCAAGGCCACCGGCCCTCAGCTCACCCCAGCACTGCCCGCCTTGCAGCAGACCCGGCCCCCTGCATCAGAGGCTGCCCACCCTGCTCCCCACCAGGACAACCTGCCCTGCTCTACCCTCACTCAAACCCTCCCTGGCTTTCAGCAGATGGGGATGCAGGACACCTGGGGCCTTCAGATCCGCCCTTCCCGCTGGGGAGGTAATAGGGAGATGGAGAAAAGCATGTGCCTAGGGTGCAGTTAGGGCCTCTCCAGGTGAGAACCAACAATGACCCTCCTTCCCCCACCTCTCTCTTCCACCACGAGAAAGGGAGCCAAGACACAGAGCCCAGGGCCAGCGCCCAGGAAACATCAGCTCCAGCCTGGCCACAACGGCTCCTCTCCGCAGGCCTTTTCCAGGCCCTTGCCTGGGACCACAGTGAGGGCGGGGGGTGGGGGCGGGAGGGTGCACCCTGCCGTCCAGCCTGGGAGAAGGGGCCCCTGAGGTGGGACACGTGGGAACCCAGAAGGGAAGCTCTTCCTGACCCCAGGTCTCCAGCCACCCCCTCTGCTCAGGATTCACCCTCCCCAGTCCCGGGGCTGCACAGGTGACAAACCCAGCATGGGAGGGCTGAGGGGACCCAGAGGGACTCACCTTTCCTGGCAATGCGAATGCAGTTCAGCCGGGTCTCCTGCAGGGAAGAGGGGGCGGAGTCTCAGCCACTGAAGCCCTGACCTCCCCCTCCCCCAGGAAGGGACCTTAGTCAGGGTCTCTTGGCGAGGACCACCCGTAGGAGGACTGAGGAGACCCGGGGGCCGGGCTAGAGGTGAGAAGCCTGCCACAGGTTAGTACCCTAGGCGATCAAGGAAGAGCATGGGGAAGGGGCAGGGCATAAACCCGGGGTCTGGTTAAGAAGAGAGATTCGGGAAAGGCGGGACTAAGGAGGGCGGAGCCTGAGGAACAGGGTGTGGCCTAGGGAAGAGGAGGGGCCTAAACCCAAAGATGGGGAAGCAGGGTAGAAACAGAAGGCGGGGCCTCAGGGAGGGGCGGAGACGAGACTGTGATCTGGACTGAAGAGGAGTCAAGAAAAGAGACTCAGAAGGAGACCGAGCTCTGTGGGAAGGAGGAGGCGGGGTCATGGGGCATGGCCTGGGCCTTAGACCTCTGCGGTAGGCCCACTGCCTGGTGTCCTGCACCCCCAACCTCCTGCACACGGCCCTGCAGCCCCTCACCCCCTTCAGGTGGCTTGCCGCCTGGAAGTAGATGAGGTAGGACTTCCTGGGCTCCAGCGGTGGGTTCCAGAAGCCTCGGTAGGTCTGGTTGTCCCCCACAGTGAAGGGCATGGCCTCAGGCAGACTGCTGGCCGCCAGTTCCGCCCCGAAGTAGTGCACCAGGCCGCGGGCCAGCGCCGCCTCGAAGGTCAGAGGCACCGGGAAGCAGTCCTGGGCGCCGGGCTCCCGCCGCAGCCGCCGCGGCCGCTCCTCCTCCACGATCACCTGGTACACGCTGCGGAGGCAGGGCAGGAGGCAGGGATCACGGCAGGCCGCCCACAGCCATCTGGTCCCTGGGGCCAGGCCCATCTGAGCACCGCTCTGAGCCCCACCTCTTACCACCTCCCAGGCCCGGGTGTCCTCCTGTGTGACAGGCAGTGGGCAGGGACCAGTGCACATCAGCTGATGCTCCTGTCACCGCCCATCCGCCTCCCCAGCTGGTCTTCCTGCGTGCGACGCAGGACGGGAAACCCAAGCTACCAATGGCTCCCTTCCCAGCCTCAGGCAGCTGCAGGCTTTCATTCATTCAGCAAGCAGTTACTGAGCTCACAGGAGGGGCCCTGTGCTGGGCGTTTAGGGGCGGGGCTTCCGGTGGAGGCCCTTCAGTGTTGAAGCAAACAAGTGGCATCTCTAGGCCCCTCTGGACCCTGAGGCGCCGCTCGTCTGCAAGCCAGAACCCCTTTCTCTCCAGGTCGCTACCACCCACTCTGATTTGGAGCGTGTGTTTCTGTTGATTGCAAAACCCCACTGAGGGGCTGGCTCTGTGGTGTTGTAGGTTAAGCCTCTGCCTGCAGCACCAGCATCCCGTATGGGCATCGGTCTGAGCCCCGACTGCTCCTCTTTCAACCCAGCTCCCTATTGATAGCCTGGGAAAGCAGTAGAAGATGGCCCAAGTGCTTGGGCCCCTGCACCCATGTGGGAGACTCAGAAGAAGCTCCTGGCTTCAGACCAGCCCAGCTCCAGCTGTTGTGGTCATCCCAGTGAATGGAAGACCTCTTTCTCTGTCTCTCCTTCTGTAACTCTGCCTCACAAATAAATAGATAAATCTTTAAATTAAAAAAAAAAAAACTCTACTGATGGGCTTTCGCTGTGAGCACCTCCAAGCCCTCTGTGGACTAAACCAAGAGCAAATATGCGAGTGCTGATGAATTCACCTGTTTCCTGTGACAGCCCCAGTGATGGCCAAGACCTCTGCTCTATTGAACGGAAACACCTTTTTCGGGCTCCCCAGCGGCTCCTTTGGAGCTTTCACACAGTGGGGAGTCATCCCAGAGACCTGTCACCAGCCCAGGGCCACCCAGCCTCCATCTCCACAGGCTGAGGTCAAGGGCGGTAATTAATACTAGTCAGGAGCACAGCTGTCTTCATCTGGAACGATGTCCGCTGTGCAGACAAGGAAAGCAGCCAGCCTAGGACAGGTGAAGGGACACGCCCAGGCCACACAGCCACCCTGCCTCTCCCCTCCCAAGGCCCACCCTGTCATCATCCCTGAGGGACCTGGCCAGCCTGCCCCCAGTATCACTCAACAGGTCAAGGAAATGAGAAGGGTTTCCCAACCCCACCCAGAGTCAGCTGTGCTAGGACCCCAGTATTCCCGGAAAGAGCAGAAAGCCCAGGCTGGCACTGTGACACAGTGGGTTAAGCCACCACCTACAATGCTGGCATCCCATATGGGCACAGGCTCAAGTCCTGGCTGCTCCACTTCTAATCCAGTTCCCTACTAACGTGCCTGGGAAAGCAAAGAGGATAGCTGAGTACTTGGGCCCCTGCACCCACATGGGAGACCAAATTGGAATCCCTGGTTCCTGGCTTTGTCCTGGCCTAGTCCTGGTCATCGTGGCCATTTAGGGAGCGGACAAGTGAATGGATGATACCCCCCCATAATATATATATATCCATCTCTCCCCTGCCCCATCCCTGAAACTCTGCCTTTCAAATACACAAATAATTTTTTTAAAGGGGGTGGGGGTAAATCCACTGCCAGCAACACCAGCATCTCATATAGGCTCCAGTTCATGTCCTGGGTGTTGCATTTCTGATCTAGCTCCCTGCTAATGCCCTGAGAAAACCAGCAGAAGGTCCAAGTCCTTGGGTCCCTGAACCTATGTGAGAGACCCAGAAGAAGCTCCTGGCTCCTGGCTTCAGCCTGGCCCAGCCCTGGCCATTGCAGCCATCTGGGGAGTGAACCAGTAGATGGAACCTCACTCTCTCACTGTCTCTCCTTCTATTTAAAAATAAATAAATCTTAAAAAAGAAAAGGAAATGAAAGGAAGAAAGAGAGAAAAGAAAAAAGCAAAATGCCCTGCTGTGCTCTGAGTTCTTCCTGGGCCTCCCCTGAGGGTCTGGGAAGCCCCCGGGGATGGGAGTTGTGATAGCAAATATGGGGGAGACAGAGCAGGAGAGGAGCGGAGCAGGAAGCAGGGGCAAGGAGAAGAAGGACCGCCAAGGGCACAGGCAATTCACCGTCTCCTTGGAAGCTGACTGGGACCCTCACCCCCTCAGCCCAGGGCCTGCACCTTCGTGGAAGGAAGGGGTAAACCCAGCAGGGGGTTCTGTGGTTTCCAGGAAGGGTATAGGCTTTGAGGACAGACCTGGGTCCCCAACCCCAGCCACACCCCTTGCTAGCCATGTGGCTTTGGGGGCCAGGCACTGAGGCTCTCTGAGCCGGATCCTGATGTGTGAAACAGCGCCAGGGCGGCTGGATAAAACGACTGTGCACACCCTTGCAATCACCCTCATGTTCTCACACGTGTACACACTCCATCCACACCTCGCACACACATCACATGTCTTTATCCACACCTTCATCTACACCTTCCGTACACAAAGACACGTCCAGGCTTACACTCCACATGTACACACACACACACACACACACCAGCCATCTGGTCCCCAGCACCTTCTCCCTAGCACAGGCAGTCACCACAGAGAGAAGAAAGCACAGAAGCCAGGCTCCGGGCCCCTCCGCAAATGGCCCTATCTGACAAGCTGCCCCCGCCTCCTAGAGAGCCCAGCCCTGTGACTCCTGGGGACAGAGGGTCTCCAGGGTCTCACGTCTCCCAGGGATCCTGGAAGAGCCCTCCCTAGAGGCCTGCACAGTCCCCCTCTCCAGAAGCCTCATGACAGCCACCAGCGGGGACCCCCAGGCTGAGTGGGGAGCGACCATGGGCTTTCCACCCACCCAGCACCACAGAACATCCTCCCCCAAACACTCAGAGCCCCGAGTGGTGGACAGAGAGGACACAGGCATGCTGGCCTAGACGGGGGTTGTGGGTCAGAGAAGGGGCCCTGGCCTGCCGGCCACCCGCAAGGTGCACACAGGCTTCCCCACCTGATGGGCGCGCCGCGGCCCTGTGCCGGCCTCAGCAGCACGGTGATGGTGTTCTCAGACTCACCCAGGGGCGCCGGCATGTCAGCATAGTCAAAGCTGGGGGCTGCAGAAGAGGGCGGGTCACGGGTGGAGCCTGGCACTGGACCCCTGGCCACTGCCCTCCCAACACTTCCCCTCTCACTTAAGCTTCCCTGACCCCGACTTCAGTCCCTAAATGGCACATTCGTCTCAGCAGGGGCCCTCCGTCACCATCCCCAGGACGGCCCCCAGGCCCTGTGCCCACAGAACCCTGGGATTCTGGGTCCCCTCCAAAGGGCCCGGGCCAGGGCCAGGTGGGGCGCACCTGAGATGTTGGTGGTGATCTCGGTGAGCGCCGCCTGGCCGAAGCCCTTGCCTGTGCGCGCCCGCACAGAGAACAGGTAGGTGGTACCCGGGTGCAGGTTGGAGAAGACGTGGTAGGTCTCGTTGCGGAGCTTGGAGATGGTACGACGTGGGCCTGGCACGTTCACCGCAGGGTCTGATGACTCAATGCTCTGGTAGCTGATCTGGGGGCAGGGGTGGGGATGGAGAGGAGCAGCACTCACCCAGCACTGGGTTCCCCCTCAGCCAGCCTTCGGGATACCTTCCCCTCCCTGCTTACTGCCTCCAGGACACAGAACCAGGCCAGAGTTAAAGGAACCATGACAATCACCTCCGTCCTCCCCATGCGCCTCCCTCTCCGTGCTGATGTGGCAGAGGGGAGGAGGGCTGTCCTCCCACCTCCCCCCACAGGCCCCTCTCACCTCGTACTGAGTGATGAGGCCGTTGGGCTCCTGGGGCTCCTCCCACTTGAGGAAGATCATGTCCTCCAGGGGAGTGAAGGTCAGGGACTCGGCTGCAATCCCCCCAGGCACTGCAAGGGAGAGGGGCAGAGAGCAGGGGAAAGTGGGCTTTGACGACCCCGAGGGTTTGCTTGAACTACTCAGTCCCTCTGGGCCTCAGTGCCCTCAGCTAGGAAGTGGGAGTGCTATGACATCCCCCACACACACACACACACCAGGATACAATGCTGTGACATTGACAGGCCCAAGTGTTCGGCGCATGACTGAGAACTCAGACAGCAGCTGGTGCCTTCACCACCGTGCACATGGCATTCAGCGGAGAAGAAGGTTTGAAGGTTTTGTTCCATTTGGACGGTTTTCAGAAAATAGAGACTTTTGCCAGAGAATTGAAAACAACAATTGCATTAAGGTCTCGGGATGATACATGCATTTTTTTCTTGTCTAAAAAAAAAGTCTCATTACAGAAACTATGTTCAATGCAGAACATCTAAATGAGTTTAAGAAAAGTAATGGCACCTACAATTGCATCGCCCAGAGATAAATACTGTGGGCGTTTTAGCACAAACACTTTCAGGCATGGTTTGGTTTGGGCTTTAACGTATAGTCTCTGCAGCAGACACACAACTTGGAGCCCTCTGTCTGGGGAACATCTTGATAAAACACTGTAGGGAAGGTGAAAGTCAAAAGCGAGGAAAGCCGACATCGCGATGGCAGTCAGCATCCAAGTTCACGAGGCCACACCACCATCCATGCAACAACACGGCAAGAAGACAACCATAGGGATTGGTGAGGAGGCAACCAGGTGCTCCCACACTGCCGGCAGGAGCAGACACTGCCACAGTGCCTTTGGAAGTCGTCTGGACATATCCTCTAAAGACAAACGCATACCCTGCAACCTAGCCATTCTACTTCTGGGCCCAAGCCCATCAGAAATATGGGACAAGTCTATAAGAGTTTTATTTGCAGCATTATTCAAAAGAGCCAATGGGCTAAACCAATGTGGCCCATTAGCCTGAAGAACCAGACAGCAGAGGAATGAATTCTCTAGAAACGAACACACAATCCGGCTCCGTGACTCCATCCACAGGCCCCTGTCCGTAGTCCCAGCCTGCCCCACATCCCAGGTACCCTGCCCTGGGGCTGAAAGAAGCTAGTCATAAAGAGAACACTCACAGTGTGATCCCATCTATAAAAAGCCCAAAGCCAAGAAGAAATCAACCTGGGATGCCCCAGTCAGCGTAGCAGCCCCCCTGGGAGGCAGTGACTGGCGGGGGGCCTGGCGGTGGGGGACTTCTGGGTGCCGACAATGCTATTTCTGGGTCTGGGCATAGGTCACCTGCATGCATCCAGTCTGTGAGAATTCCCTGGGCTGACCCTCACACATTTTGTACTGACACTCAGGTGACAAGTAAAATATCTTCAAAGTAACCCCGTAGCAGAGGAGGTGGGAAGGGAAGAGAAAGGCCAAGTGGTCCAAGTGAGGGCTGGCCAGGGGTGGGGGGAAGCGGCCACAATAACGTCCCTGGGGATGAGAGTAGGGGCCAACAGACTTCAAGAATAGAGCAGTTAGGGCGGCAGCTGGGGTGCAGGGCAGTGGGGCTCTCCGGGTGGGCTGGCCCAGCCGCCTGTGGCCACTTGGAACAACAGACAAGAAGGGCCAGAAGGCAGTGTCCTGTGTTGGGGAGGGGGCAGGGTACCTGGGGTGCGGGCCAGGCCAGGACAATGGACAGAGGCCTATGGATGGGAGGAAATGCCATGCCTTTCTGGGCTCCAGCCAGCTCGCCTCCCATGTCACATGGGGCTATAGAGGACTTGGGCCCACGGGGGCAGCACGGGGAGTGCCAAGGGCTGCTGTGGCCGGCCTCTTGCGGGTATCATGGCTGGACCCAGTGCCACATGCATTCTGAAGTGGGTGACATGACGTTTGGCAGTGGATTTAGGGCACAGTTCAGGAGGTTCCTTAATCTCTGTAGTTTAGAAATGTGGCTTTAGCGGCTGGTGCTGTGACGTAGTAGGTTAGGCCACTGCCCACAACTCCAGCATCCCATATGGGCGCTGGTTTAATTGCTCCACTTCTGATCCAGCTTCCTGCTATGGCCTAGGAAAGCAGCAGAAGATGGGCCAAGAGCTTGGGCTCCTGCACCCACATGGGAGACCAGAAGAAGCTCCTGGCTCCTGGCTTTAAAAAAAAAAATTAAAATGTGGCTTTAATTACAGGCCAGAGTAGTTGGTAAAGAAATTTGGGGAGAGAAGGGGGGCGGCGGGGCTAGCGCCATGGCATAGTAGGTTAAGTCTCCATCTGTAGTGCCAGCATCCCATGTGGGTGCCAGCTCGAGTCTCAGCTGCTCCCTACTGATCCAGCTCTCTGCTAATGGCCTGGGAAAGCAGCAGAAGATGGCCCAAGTGCTTGGGCTCCTGTGCCCATGTGGGAGACCTGAAAGAAGCTCCTGGCTCCTGGTTTTGGATCAGCTCAGCTCCGGCTGTTGGGGAGCAAACCAGCAGATGGAAGACCTTTGTCTTTGTCTCCCCCTCTTTCTGTCTATAACTCTACCTCTCAAATAAGTAAATCTTCAAAAAAAAAAAAAAAAGAAATTTTTAGGGAGACTGGAAAAAAAGATGTGGGATAAGTTCTTATCAAAGTAGAAAATGGGTTTAGCGAAAATGTATAGTTTTCAAATAAATGCTTCTTTTTTAAATTTTTTTTATTTGACAGATTGAGTTAGTGAGGGAGAAAGACAGAGAGAAAGGTCTTCTTTCTGTTGGTTCACCCCCCAAATGGCTGCTACGGCCAGCGCTGTGCTGATCCAAAGCCAGGAGCCAGTTGCCTCTTCCTGGTCTCCCATGCGGGTGCAGGGCCCAAGCACTTGAGCCATCCTCCACTGCCTTCCCCGGCCACAGCAGAGAGCTGGACTGGAAGAGGAGCAACCGGGACAGAACCAGCACCCCAACCAGGACTAGAACCCGGTGCCCATATGGGATGCTGGCGCCACAGGCTGAGGATTAACCAAGTAAGCCACGGAGCTGGCCTAATAAATGCTCCTTAATCTCCCTTAAAAAAAGAAAAGAAAAGAAAAGAAAAGAAAAGAAAAGAAAAGAAAAGAAAAGAAAAGAAAAGAAAAGAAAAGAAAAGAAAAGAAAAGAAAAGAAGAGGAAAGAAGAGGAAAAAGAGGAAGAGGGAGAGGGAGAGGGAAAAGGAGAAGGACAGAACAGGCTGGTGTTCAATTTGAGGTTGTGTGCAATGCTTCATGGTAAACTCATCCAGTCCCCACTTTTGTCCCAGCAAATCCTCAGCTCGGGGCGTGCACACTGCCTGGGTGAATGGGGTCTTGTGGAAACCAAGGCAGGAGCTGAGTTTTGTGTCTGGGCCAGTGCTGTGCAGAAGAGAAACTGCACATGAGGGAGAACAAGGAAAAGCAGAAGCCAAGGAGCTTCAGGGCACCTGGGGCCTGGCGGGACCCTGAGCAAGGCTCCGGACCTGGGCAGGCGCTGGAGTGCAGCTGCCGAGAATGACGACTCTGAAGCCAGGTGGCAAGGTTTGAAATCCGGCTCTGCCATCCATGCACTAACTGGACAACCACCTGCAAAGTGAGGACAGCAGCAGGAGAGAAGGCCACACAGGGCTGTCGTGGGGATCTCACTCGCGAACAGAGAGAATGCATTCAGAAGAGGGCCTGACACAGAGAGTGCCTGGCAGTACACGTGGACATGGATAGAACACTGCACCCAACGACAGAACGCAGTTTTTTACAAGTACGTATGGAATACTTGCCAAAATCCTTAACCATAGGCTGGAGTACATACTCTGGCCCGAGGGCCCCTAAGCTAGAAATCAATAACCAAAAGATAATCAGAACAGTCCCAATTGCTTAGATTTTAAGTGACCTAATAACCCTTGAGTCAAAGAAGAAATCGCAACAGAAATCAGGAAATGTTTCAAATGGATGATAATGAAGGTAGGACACGTCCGAACTGGTGGGATGCAGCTAAGGCAGGGCTGAGGGGGGATTTATGGCTTGAAAGGCTTATTGAGAAATGAAGAAAGGCACAAAAATAAGGACCTAAGAAGTATCCATCTTGGCGCCGTGCTGTGGTGTAGTGGGTAAAGCCACTACCTGCGGTGCCGGCATCCCATATGAGCGCCAGTTTCAGTCTTAGCTGCTCCACTTCCGATCCAGCTCTCTGCTATGGCCTGTGAAAGCAGCTGAAGATGGCCCAAGTCCTTGGGCCCTGCATCCACATGGGAGACCCAGAAGAAGCTCCTGGCTCCTGGCTTCAGATCAGCACAGACCCGGCCTTTATGGCCAATTGGGGAGTGAACCAGGGGATGGAAGACCTCTCTTCTCTCTCTCTCTCTCTCTCTCTCTCTCTGCCTCTCTGTCTCTCTCTGTGAAAATCTGACTTTAAAATAAATAAATAAATCTTAAAAAAAAAAAAAAAAAAGAAGTGTTGGCCAGCGCCGCGGCCCAATAGGCTAATCCTCCACCTTGCAGCGCCAGCACACCGGGTTCTAGTCCCGGTCGGGGCGCCAGATCCTGTCCTGGTTGCCCCTCTTCCAGGCCAGCTCTCTGCTATGGGAGTGCATTGGAGGATGGCCCAAGTGCTTGGGCCCTGCACCCCATGGGAGACCAGGAGAAGCACCTGGCTCCTGCCTTTGGATCAGCGTGGTGCGCCGGCCGCAGCGCGCCAGCCTTGGCGGCCATTGGAGGGTGAACCAATGGCAAAAGGAAGACCTTTCTCTCTGTCTCTCTCTCTCACTATCCACTCTGCCTGTCAAAAAAAAAAAAAAAAAGTGTCTATCTAAAGATACTAAAAGAACAGCAAATCAAATCCAAAAAAAGCACACAAAGGAAATAAAGAATTAAAAAATAAACATAAACATAGACGAAAGAAAATCAAGCCAAAATTCAGTTCTTTGGCACGATTAATGAAATGTGTAGCAAGAGTGAACAACAGGCCAGCACCGCGGCTCACTAGGCTAATCCTCCACCTGCAGCGCCAGCATCCTGGGGTTTTAGTCCCGGTCAGGGCGCCGGATTCTGTCCTGGTTGCTCCTCTTCCAATCCAACTCTCTGCTGTGGCCTGGGAGGGCAGTGGAGGATGGCCCAAGTGCTTGGGCCCTGCACCCACATGGGAGACCAGGAGGAAGCACCTGGCTCCTGACTTCGGATTGGCACAGCACGCCGGCCGTAGCAGCCACTTGGGGGGTGACCCAACGGAAAAGGAAGACCTTTCTCTCTGTCTCTCTCCTCTCTCTCACTGTCTAACTCTGCCTGTAAAGAAAAAAAAAAGAGTGTCAACATAAAAGAGAGAAAAATATAAATTACCAACATCAGAAATGAAAAAGGGGTTATCACTACAGATCCTACAGACAACAGATATGATAGGAGAATATGATAAACAACTTTATGTCAGGACATTAGACAATTTAGGTAAAATGAACAAATTCTCTGAAAAATACATGACACCAAAACTGATACAAGAATAGATCATCTTCTATATGCAGGGAATCCAAAAGACTCCACTAAGAGACTATTGGAGCCCACAGAAGAGTCTCATAAAGTAGCAAATATAAAGTCAATACACAAAAATCAAAAGCCTTCTACATACAGACAATGCCACGGCTAAGAAAGAACTTCTAAGATCAATCCCATTCGCAATAGCTACAAAAAAAAAAACACCTTGGAATAAATTTAACCAAGGATAACAAAGATCTCTATGATGAGAATTACAAAACATTATGGCCCAGGAGTGCAGTGGAGGATGGCCCAGGTCCTTGGGCCCTGCACCCGCATGGGAGACCAGGAGAAGCACCTGGCTCCTGGCTTCAGATCAGCACGATGCGCTGGCCGCAGTGCACCGGCCGCGGCAGCCATTGGAGGGTGAACCAACGGCAAAAAGAAGACCTTTCTCTCTCTCTCTCGAGTGAGAAAACTGTCCATTCTGCCTGTCAAAAATTAAAAAAAAAAAAAAGAATTACAAAACATCAAATAAAGACATAAAAGAAGACACAAAAAAATGGAAAAAAGCTTCCATGTTCATGGACTAGAAAAACCAATATCATCAAAATGTCCATACTTCTGAAAGCAATTTACAGATTCAATGTGATACCAATCAAAATACCATTCTCAGATGTAGAAAAATGATGCTGAAATTCATATGGCGGTACAAGAGACCTCAAATAGCTAAAACAATCTTACACAACAAAACAAGTCAGAGCCGGCGCCGCGGCTCACTAGGCTAATCCTCCACCTGCGGCACCGGCACCCTGGGTTCTAGTCCAGCCGGGGCACCGGATTCTGTCCTGGTTGCTCCTCTTCCAGTCCAACTCTCTGCTGTGGCCCTGGAGTGCAGTGGAGGATGGCCCAAGTGCTTGGGCCCTGCACCCCATGGGAGGTGCTCCTGGCTTCAGATCTGCGCAGCGCGCCATCCATGGCGGCCATTTCGGGGGTGAACCCATGGAAGGAAGACCTTTCTCTCTGTCTCTCTCTCACTAACTCTGTCAAAAAAAAATAAAAATAAAAATAAAAATAAAAATAAAAATAAAAATAAAAAAACAAGCCAGAGGCATCACAATACTATATTTCAAGACATACTACAGGGCAGTCATATCAAAACAGCCTGGTACTGGTACAGAAACAGATTGATAGACCAATAGAACAAAATAGAAACATGACAGAAATCAATCCAAGCATCTACAACCAACTTATATTTGACAAAGGAGCTAAAACCAGTCCCTGGAACAAGGACAATCTCTTCAACAAATGGTGCCAGGAGAACTGGATCTCCACATATAGAAGTATAAAAGCGAGACCCCTACCTTACACCTTACACAAAAATACACTCAAAATGAATTAAAGACCTAAATCTATGACCCAATACCATCAAAGTATTAGAGAACATTGGGAAAAACCCTGCAAGACATTGGCATAGGCAAAGAGTTCTTGGAAAAGACCCCAGAGGCACAGGCAATGAAAGCCAAGATTGATAAATAGGATTACATCAAATTGAGAAGCTTCTGTACTCCAAAAGAAACACTCAGGAAAGTGAAGAGGCAATTGACAGAATGGGGGAAATTCTTTGCAAACTATTCAACCAATAAAGGATTAATAACCAGAATATATAAAGAGATCCAGAAACTCCACAACAACAAAACAAACAAACAACTCAGTGAAGAAATGGGCAAAGGACTTAAAAAAACATTTTTCAAAAGAGGAAATCCAAATGGCCAACAGACACATGAAAATGCTCAGGATCACTAGCCATTAGGGAGATGCAAATCAAAATCACAATGAGGTTTTACCTCATCCCAGTTAGAATGGCTTTCATACTGGGGCCGGCGCTGTGGCACAGCAGGTTAACGCCCTGGCCTACAGTGCCGGTATCCCATATGGACGCTGGTTCGAGTCCCAGCTGCTCCTCTTCAATCCAGCTCTCTGCTATGCCCTGGGAAAGCAGTAGAAGATGGCCCAAGTCCTTGGGCCCCTGCACCCACATGGGAAACCCACAAGAAGCCCTGGCTCCTGGCTCAGATCTCACAGCTCCGGCTATTGCGGCCATCTGGGGAGTGAACCAGCGGATGGAAGCTCTCTCTCTCTCTGTCTCTACCTCTCTCTGTAACTGTCTTTCAAATAAATAAAAAAAATTTTTTTAAAAAAAGAATGGCTTTCATTCAGAAATCAACAAACATCAAATGCTGGCAAGGATGTGGGGGAAAAGGTCCCTAACCCACTGTTGGTGGGAATGCAAACTGGTAAAGCCATATAGAAGACAGTATGGAGATACCTCAGATCTGAATATAGACCTACCATATGACCCAGCCATCCCAGTCCTGGGAATTTACCCAAGGGAAAGAAAATCAGCATATGAAAGAGTTACCTGCACCCCCATTATTGCAGCTCAATTCACAGTAGCTAAGACATGGAATCAACCCAAATGTCTGTCAACTGAAGATCAGATAAAGAAATCATGGGATATGTACTCTATGGAATATTACACAGCGGTAAAAAAAAAATGAAATCCGGTCATTTACAACTAAATGGGTGAATATGGAAAACATCATACTTAGTGAGATAAGCCAGTCCCAAAGGGACAAATACCATATGTTCTCCCTGACCTGTGATAACTAATAGAGCACCTAAAATGTAATCTGTAGAAGTGAAATTGATACTTTGAGAAGCAATGACTTGAACAGCCCTTGTCTTGACTGTTGAGGAACAGTTTTTTATTTTTTTACACTATTTGTTGAACATATGTGTATAAAGTCCATTGAAAATTGATCTCTTGGGGCCAGTGCTGTAGCATAGCTGGTAAAGCCACCACCTGCAGTGCCTGCATCCCATAGGAGCGCCAGTTCGAGTCCCAGCTGTTCCACTTCCAATCCAGATCTCTGCTATGGCCTGGAAAAGCCATAGAAGATAGGCCAAGTCCTTGGGACCCTGCGCCCACATAGGAGACCCAGAGGAGGCTGCTGGCTCCTGGCTTTGGATCAGCGCAGCTCCAGCCATTGCGGCAAATTGGGGAGTGAACCAGCAGATGGAAGACCTCTCTTTCTCTCTCTCTCTCTTCCTCTGCCTCTGCTTCTCTGTAACTCTGACTTTCAAATAAATAAATAAATCTTGTTTTAAAAAATGGATCTCAGTGAAAAATAAGAGTGGGAATAAGAGAGGGAGGAGGGAGGTGGTGAAAGTATGGGTAGGAGGACGGGCACAGTGAAGGGAATCACCATGTTCCTAAAGTTGTAACCATGAAGTGTATGAAGTTTGTAACTGTAAAGCTGTAGAGTTCTGCATACATTCCTATTACTTATTTTTAAGGGTACAGTTTAAAAACTTGCCACAGGACCCCAAATCCCCTTAAGCTGTGTGGTAAAAATACCATCTTAAGTGTTAAAGTGATCATATGGATAGGATTAAGTGTCTGGCAATAATAATAGACAGAATTAAAAAGGAGTGAATGCTCCAACATGGGAAGCAGTTCACATAGCAGACTCATAGAATGACAATCGCTTTAAATAGCACTCTGACCTCAAAAATCAGCCCTTAAGGTGTTCTGGTCTGGCTAAAAATCCCATGAGAGCATTTTAGGCATGGAAAGCCAAGACACTGGGGGCCAGCACTGCAGTGTAGCGGATAAAGCTGCCGCCACCAGTGCCAGCATCCCATATGAGCACCAGTTTGAGTCTTGGCTGCTCTACTTCCAATCCAGCTCTCTGCTATGGCCTGGGAAAGCAGCATAATATGGCCTATGTCCTTGGGCCCCTGCACCCACATGGGAGACCTGGAAGAAGCTCCTGGCTCCTGGCTTCAGCCCTGCCCTGCCACAGCCATTGTGGCCATCCGGGGAGTGAAAGAGCAGATGGAAGCTCTCTCTCTCTCTTTTTCTCCATAACTCTGGCTCGCAAAAAAGTTTAAAAATCTTTTTTAAAAAATAGATCTTGGTACCTGCATGTGGCATAGTAGGGTAAGCCTCTGCCTGTGGTGCTCTCATCCCATATAGGCACTGGCTAGAGTACCAGCTGCTCCACTTCCAATCTATCTCCCTGCTAATGTCCTAATGTCTAATGCAGTAGAAGATGGCTCAAGTGCCTAGGCCCCTGTACCTATGTGGGAGACCTGGGAGAAGCTCCTGGCTCCTGGCTTTGGATCAGCCCAGCTCCAGCCATTGCAGCCATTTGGGGAGTGAACCAACAGAAGGAAGATCTCTCTCTCTCTCTGTATGTCTCCCTCTTTCTGTCTGTAACTCTGCCTCTCAAATAAATAAATAAATCTTTTTAAAAAATCCCCCATCTCAATATTCCAATATCTACTTAAAAATTAAAACTGTTGATAAAAATACTGCCACAAAGGAAAGATCAGGCCCAACAGCTTCACTGCTGAATTCTCCCAACACTCAGTGAAGAGACTGCCAATCTAAACGTCGTCCGGAGAATAAATACCAGCCATCGTGAGTGTGTTGCTCCCCAGCTGCTTTAATCCCAAGCAGAACATTCCCTGCTCACAGATGTGCAGACTCTCATGGATGTGGGGGCTTGGGGCTCTGGGAGGCGGCCAGGGACTCTTACCGTCCTCGTCGGTCTGGAAGGTGACCTCCTTGCCTTCCTTGCGTCCCTCGGGGTTGGTGAGGACCAGGCGCACGTGCACGTTCCGGTAGGGCAGCAGGTTCTGGATGGTGTAGCGGCTGACGCCCCGCTCCATCTGCACGCACTCCCGGATGCTCTGGTTGTGGCTGCCGCCCGGGGTGTAGTGATAGCACAGGGCCACGGTGTAGGTGTGGCAACGCGTCACGTTGTAGCCCAGGGGTTCCCACTGCAGGGTCAGCTGGCGGGCCTGGATCTCAGCAAAAGCCAGGCCTTTGGGGGCCCTCATGGGCTCTGCGAAGCAAAGAAGCAGAGAGGAGAAGGTGGAGGAAGTGAGAAAGGGAGAGGAAGAGGGACGTGGAGAGAACACATCAGTCAGCCACCCGCAGCCCTGCTGCCCTCGCCCGCTGAACAGGGAGGGAGAGCGCACGCTCTGCGTGACGCCGGCCACCCGGGCACCCTGGCTGCCAGCTGCCACCTGTGTCGCTTCCCCTCTCCGAGATGGCTTTGGTTTCCTCGACTGCAAAATGCGGAGCTACCAGCCCTACCGCACGGGGCTGCTGTGAAGTTTAAGGAGATACAAGCAAAAAGCATGCATGGCATTGGCTAACACACAACAGGCCCTCAAAGTGGCCCGTGCTGTGGCACGGTGGGTTACACTGAGGCCTGCAATGCAGGCATTCCATATCACAGCACGGCCTCGAGTCCTGGCTGCTCCACTTCCGGTCTAGCTCCCTGCTAATGCTCCTGGGAAGGCAGTGCTGGGCCAGGCTGAAGCCAGGAGCCTGGAACTCCACCTGGGTCTCCAACATGGGTGGCAGGGACCCAAGCACTTGGACCATCCTCTGTGGCTTTCCTGGGCATATTAGTAGGGAGCTGGATTGGAAGTGGAGCAGCAGGACTTCAAGTTCATATGGGATGCCAGCATTGCAGGCAGTGGCTTAACCTGCTGTAGCTCCTGTTTTTGTTTTGTTTTGTTGTTTGTTTGTTTTTCTTTAATAGCTCAACTCAACTCCTAATTCTGGTTTATCCTAGACTATATCATACCAGTATGAATCAAACTATTGCTGTATTTTTCATAATATTGATTTCAAACTTGTTCTGAAACAGCTTATAGTAACACAGGATACAATCATATATAATAATCAAGATGGTGGGGGAAATGAGAGGCAAATAGTTAAACATAGGACCCAATGCGTACAATGCCAAGGCCTAAAGAAAAGGTTCCAACTGGGTGGTGAGTTCCCTGGCTGCCAAAGCATAAAAGGGAACACAATCTACCACACGATGAGGATAACAACAATGGCAGTTTGCACTTTGGAGGCTCCGGATATGCCCGGCACTGTTCAGAGGCTTTCAAATCCTTTACCCACTTACTCCTCACTGTAATCCAATGAGATGAGCGCTCTTACCAGCCCTGTCATACCAACGTAGAGACAGACACAGAGAGATCACAGTCCCACAGTGAGTGACAGGCTGGCTCCAGAACCCATGCTTCCACCCATCACTATCCGGCCACGCACACACCCCCCACGCCCCCAAGTGACAAATTCACTGTCAGAAAACGTTTTGTAGCCATGCCTCAGCAGAGAGGCTGCACAGTGCACCGCCTACGTCCAGATCACCTTGGACCACACGAGGCCACTGGGAATGAACCCATTGCTACATTTTTCTGATGTCACTAATTCCACACTGAACTCAAGGCAGCTTCACTCTCATCCACAGCAGAGGGGAGGGAGTGGTCTCTGGATGACCCTGTGAGGCAGGAAGTTGTCCCCACGTCCCAAGTAAAGGAACCAAAGCCTCTGAAGTGGGGCTCAGCCTGAGTCCTGGGTCCACACTGGCCAGCTGCACGATCCCACACCAATCACTGGGCCTCAATTTGGAAGACGAGAGAAGAAGACAAGTTTACTTTTGTTTTTAGTTTTTTGATTTGAAAGGCAAAGACAGATCTTCATCTACTGGTTCAGTCCCCCAAATGCCTACGACAACCACGGCCAGGCCAAAACCAGAGCTCAATCCGGATCTCTCATGTGGGCGGCACCTGAGCCATCACCGCTGCCTCACAGGGTGCACACAGGCAGGAAGCTAGAACAGGAAGCAAAGCCAGGACTCGACCTCAGGCACTCCGATATGGGATGCCAGTGCCCCAAGCAGCATCCTGACCACTGTGCCAAACACGCACTCTGCCCATAATACTTCTCCCTCCTGCACCCTGTGTGCAAGGCAGCTTCATTTCTCTCCGGGTGTGTCTGCCCTTGCAAAGCCTCTTCGTCAGATGATCTCAGGGTCCCTTAACAAACAGGTAAGAAAGAACTGCTATTTAGCCTCTTAAAGACAGTGAGTACGAGCCTGGTATCGTTGTTTGATGACTTATTTGCCCAGAATGTCCTTATAAAGACACACAGGGAAATAGCAGTTCTGGCTGCTCCCCACTGAGGCGTGCGCAGGGGACCTGCCCCAAGCACACAGCACGGGACAAGCTGCCATTCCCACTCAGGAGCCTGGCCCTCTTCCCTGGGCCCCAGGCAAGTGGCTCGAGTCCGGACACACAAAGAGCCATTGAAGACAGACTTCAGACTTCACCTGCTGGGAACAAGGCCTACCTCCTGTCTGACTGCCCTCTGCCCACAAGCAAGGCACACTCCAGTCCCAGCCTACGTGGACACTACCTCCCACTGCTGGCTGCAACCCAAGGGTTACAGGCTGCAAACCCACAGAGAATGCTTATGCTTTCTCTCTTCCCCAGCCTAAAGAGATTTTCCTATTTTTGCTTTGTTTGACTCACCATTCTTGTGTGTTTTCAGAGGAGGGGGCAGGTTGTGTGGGATCTGCCCAGAGACCCTCAGTGCACTCCCTGACTGCCTGGCTCTGCACTGCCCCTGGGTGGCTCTGCTTTCTTGCACTGGGGAGAGTGGAGGGAGGACCTCGGATCCCTGCAGCTCTGCTCACAGACGCCCACCCTGGGATGCCAGCGGTGTATTTCCTTCCATCTTCCCAGGCTTGGCAGGAGCACACTGCTTCCCTGCCCTCCTGCCGCACTTGGAGACGAACCAGTGACGTGGCTAGGTGGAGCCCACAGCAAACAGGACAGCTGGTGCCCCACCCAAAAGGCGATGGATGCTGTGCAGCACTACGGGCCCAGTGTTCCCAGATCTTCCTGTTTCTCAAGAGAAGCCAGAAATTCAGATTTTCATGTGAAATCTCTGGATTTCTAAATCCTGGCGACCTGCTCAAGTTTCCCAAAACCCCCTCCAGGGCCCAAGATGGCAACCTCTGATTCCCAACTTCATACCTGGGGATCTCGTTCTCCAACAGCTGTGCGACCTCCCAGCTAGATTGAGGGGGTCTCTGAAAACAAGGCCTCTCCTCGCTCCCTCCCTGTCCAGGCCAACTCTAGGCAGAGGCAGGGGCTGAGAGAGTGTGTTGACTACAGACGGATACGTTGATTGAAGAGTGTGAATCCATGAGTCTGTGTTTCCAAAAGACCATCTGGCACCCAGACACTCTCTCTTCAGCTGCCAGCCCACGCTGGCAAAGCAGAACAGGGGGCCCTCGAAGCCCCACCCCACCACATTCCACAGAAATCAGAGAGCAGAGCCACTCAGAGATGCGCATGGGATCCAAGAGGGTAACACAGAACAATCGCCAAACAAGGCTCAAATGTGTTGAACTTTCACGATGCTAATGAGAACGCAATAACTCTGAAGCCTGGGGAAGCGAAGGAGCTGCGGACTGGGGTCAAGGGCACCAAAGGTCATGTCCTTGCTCTCCTCCTTACCAGTTCTGTGACTTCAGGCAAGTGCTTCACTCCCTTTGAACACTGATGCCAAGTTGATGTCAGGTTCCTGGACTACAGCATGGAGACAACAAGGCCTACTCAGAAGAGTGAGTGTGAAAGTCCCAGGAGGTGACGTGGGGCAAACTGCCCGGCCTGCAGGATGTAACAACCTCATGTGCACTAACGGGCGGCACCGCAAGCAACATAAATTACAACAGCGATATTTTTAAAAAAACAATCTATGTCTCCAGCAGATAGAAGATGTCTCTATGGCTGTCTCTTTCTCTCTGTCTCTCCGCCTTTCAAATAAAATGAAAAAACCAAACATCAATATACATCAAAGCCTTTTCTTTGGCCGGCACCATGGCACCTGGCTCCTGCCTTCGGATCAGCACGGTGCACTGGCTGCAGTGCACTGGCCGCGGCAGCCATTGGAGGGTGAACCAACGGCAAAGGAAGACCTTTCTCTCTGTCTCTCTCTCACTGTCCACTCTGCCTGTCAAAAAAAAAAAAAAAAAAAAAAAAAAGCCTTTTCTTTAACTATTCCTGACCATATGCACCGAACAATATGCTTAGGACAAAAACTACAAAACTTTGAGCGCCGTCTTTTTCAATGCAGCACGATTTATAACAACAGGGATCTGGACACTCAATAGATTCCCGTGGCCAATAAACAATGATGACAAACAACACAGCACAAGTAACAGCACCAAGCAAATGCACCTGGATCCTCCCCACCACCTCATCCCGAGGGCGGGTGTGCAAACGCGTGGACTGCGCAACACAGATTTGAAGACAACGGAAAAATCAAAACAGCTGTTGGGCTGGGATGGGGAGATTGAGAGTAGTTTTTTAAACGCCTTTTACTGATGCTATATTATTGTTTTCACAGCAAATAATATAGTGAGAGGGGAGCTTCATGGGGAGGGAGAAGACAAAAACACAGCTGCCAACAGCAAAACAACTCCTGGCCAAGGCGCCCGAGCTGGGAGGGGTGGTGATGCCAATCAAGAGGAGCATGTAATTACCAGGGGCAGGATGAGGTTGCGCCTGCCCAACCCTGCCCAGGTATCGTGTGTGGCAGCACCTGGTACCAAGTGGGCAGTCAGCCCGTGGTGGCGGGAGCTGCAGCTGCCGCCGCTGCTATGGCTAAAAACACCGCGCAGGAAATCAGGAAATTCAAGTCTGGTTCTGGCTCTGCTGCAGACTCACTGTGAAGGCTCGGGCAAGAGACTCAGTCTCTAAGTCTGCCTCCTCACCTTGTAAAGCAGGAGCAATCAAAAGCCAGCACCATGAAGCCTGGGTTCTACCCTACCACGGGAGCCCAGGCTGTTAGCCTCCCCACCTGCACAGAGAAGGGGCCGCAACAGATTCCCTGTGACCCCCGAGCGCTGGTTGCTTCCATTCTGAGTGGCGGACCAGGACTGCCTTGGAAGATTATAGCACTCTAACGACAGCTGTCATTCACTGAGTGCCTACTGTGTGCTTCACGTGCATTTAATACAGTTACCTG